GGGTAGAAAGGATCAAGAGGCTTGACACAACGCAAGTTCTGTGAATCAGATGGAAGACTAGCCAGTTAACAACCCAGCGGCAGCCTTCTCACGATTCTGTTTGACTCGAAGCTACAGTTTCTACGAACCCATCGCAGGTGCGGTGTTCAAATTTGGCACGGCACGCCTGCACCCCCCGCGGAAAACATACGAGAGGCAAACAGCACGGGTCAAAGTTTAGGGCTCGGCATATTTTCATATTCTCATATATAGTCCCATTCACCTCAATGCAAAGGTATTCCCCAACTGGGCTCCCAAAATGAAGAGATCCGATACGAAAAAACCAGCATTTCTCTGAAGATTTTGACCCAATGCGCTGCTCGGAGATGCGAAGCCGCGGTGACTTGCGCCAAGTCAAGCTGAAAGGATTCCACTTGAAACTGATCTAGAAATGATGGAGGATCACAGCGCAGGGATCCAAGTCTAGGAATTATGCCACAAGCTTTAGGATTAGTAATCGCTCGATCCTTGACCCCTACCCATGTGACGACTTTGGATACTTGAACTGGAACGTCTGGAACCTGAAATTCGGGCGTTAGTCGCATGGCTGCGATGAGTTCTATACCAATTCAATATGAAATTAAACTATATATATATATATTATATATATATATTATATATATTATATATATATATGCGTATACATATATACATATATACATATATATATATATACATATACACATATATATATATATATTTATATTAATGTATTTTACTGCATAGGTTATGCATGGCCAGAATTCCTTGAGCCTAGCAGAAAAAGTGGGATATATCCCACTTCCTCATTCGCTACGTCAGAAGCGAGGGCGGATCGTGTCATAGAGAAGCAGCTGCACCACAACGATCAACGTCATTTGGAAGATTCCTGGTGCAGTGGGCCCCCGTAAAACCGATTGAAACCATAGGAAAACCATAGGAATACCATAGGAATACCATAGGAATTTTTGGATTTCACCAGGAAACATGATGATTTCGTCAGATTTATTTTGAAATGGCCTTGAAAAAACAACCACACATATCAGGACCGATGTGCCGGGGCAATCGCTGCTGTGAGGTATATGGCTGACATGCATTTTATGGTGGTTCATAATGATTAACAATGGTCGAGATAAGTGCCCACCATGGCTAAAGGTGGTTAATAGCGATTGAAAACTGACACAAAGAATTACCAATAATGTGTTAAACAATGTTAAACACAATAAACCATCCATAGATTCACCACGATTCATTTGCCACAAACAATTGGTTGTAATACGACCATCCCCAAATGGTAGGTAAAAACCATCGGGTTGCCCACCTATGACATGGTGTAACTCGGCTCTGAAGAGGTGTTCTCCATGATTACATATGGCGTCTCTTAAGGCAACTCTTGCAGGCTGGGTGATATCGACATACCACGTATATATAATATAATATGTATATATATAAGATATGACATATGTATAAATATATAGTTATACTTAATTAAATAATCACATACTTATATCCGACCGTCATATCATCTCAACATATCTTCAACCAGCCTTCCGTCGTATCGCCAGGCGACGCGTTTGCCAACCGCTGAAGAGTCCCAATAGGCCCAGGCGTCGAGCTGCATCGCGCATCTGCTTCCAGACGCTGATGGGTTTATCCTCCCACAGGTCCTGGTTGCGGGCCGTGGAAAACCATTGGAAAACCATAGGAACATGGGAAAATCCTAGGAAAACTATAGGAAAACCATAGGAAAATGGAGGTTTACCCTCTAACATAACTATGGAAAATCACCATTTTCAATGGGTAAATCCACTATTTCTATGGCCATGTTCAATAGCAAACTCTTAAAAATTACCACTGGGCTGTAAGGGCTGTGAATCTTATTCTAAATTCTGTTGATCGAAATGATGTTGAACACATTTCAAATCACCGTATAACAGTGCATTTATCGTTCAATTTCTTTGACATTGTTGAAAACACGATAAACAGACACCATGTTTGATGCGTTTAAGGGGTAATCATTTCATATTGGGGAGTGAAACAATCATCAAACACCATCATAGAATTACATAGCCCATTGTAACCATTGTGGATGCTTGTTGTGTTAATTCATCAAACATATTGGATGGGTCTTGGGACCCCCAGTGGACCCCCCCAAGAATGGATCATCAGGTACCTTGTAGCTTCAAAAACTGAAAAAACAGGTACCTGAAAATCAAACATGGCAAGCTGGGAAATCCGCGAATTCCATGGGAATTTTCACATCGAAGCATTCGACTGGTAAGGGACTTTCCGAATCGAAAAGTAGCCAATTTGTGAATGTTGACTTGGAACACTCAGCATATTGAGATCACTTGGAAAATGCCAACCAGTCAGAGATGTGATTGATATCGGGCATGATAACTACGAAAATCACCATGGACGAATCGGGAAGTTCTTCCCATACACTGGTCTCTGGCAGAGCCTGAGGAAATTGATAAAGGGATTCAACATGTCATTGCTTGACAAGGGTATGTGTCCTATTCCGTTGGATCAAAAGAGTGACCATTACCATTTGGGTCTGAACATAGGGTACCTCAAAATCTACTACAGTAGCTACTGGTGAATTCCCTTAATTTAGATGCCTGCTTTGCTATGCCCCAGCCATTCAGACGCCATGTCAACCTCAAAGCGACATCGTCCCGAATCTTAGGGTCAATCTGGAGGACACTCGCTAATTCACCCGTGGCTACCCTGTTTTCAGACCAACTCACATGTTGTGAGAAACAAACCATGGGTTGGCATGAGACAAAGCCAATTTTACAAAACCATCCCCCAACACAACTTGGGCTATACACAAACTACTGCTGCAGGGGAATCAGGCATGACTCCCCATCATCCAGGACCAGCTGGTGCATCATCCCATATCATCCCGTCAAACCAATCCGTCATCATCTCCTACCCGGCCAACCATTGAATTGATGTCATGTAATCTCGCCTTGGTTTGTTTTCATGCTATCCCAGCTTTTACAGGATATCTGGAGGGGCTTGCACCAAAGCTGTTGACGAAACCACGGCTGTGGCCTCTGAAACTTGGACGCTGAGTCATCAGGCTCACCAGGTTCCTACTACCACCATATTTTTTGACCCCGGCCCGAACTATCCAAACATCTGGTCAAATCTCAATCTCCTCATCATCCCCGCATGTTTTCTTGGCAAAATCCTCCAATTTTCCTGTCTCATTTGGGTATGGATCAATACCTATTAATACCATTTTTAGGGGAATGAACATCCATTTACCAGATATTTTGATGTTCACCAGGGGTACAAGGTTTTGACACACTGCCATTTCAAATCCTCATCCACTCCCCATCCCCTTCCGTCCTCATCATCCATGGGCAAGGGGCATACCCCGCTCCCCCCCGCCACTGAGATGCAGGTGAAGACCGTGTCCGCCGGCTGCGACGCTAAGGTGGCGGCCGTGGCCGCACTGAAGGCCGCACAGACTTTGGCCGTGCTGGGGAGGCCCCAGAGCGAGGCCAAGGATGTGCTGAGGACGTCGTAGGTGACCAATTTGGCCACAGTGTAGCTGCACTGTTTCACCTAGGCCAAGACAAGAAAAAACAGTTAGGATAGAGGTGTAAGAAATCAATAGTTCATCCATGAGTCTGCATGAGGTTAGGAGAGAGGTAACAAAAGTCGATAATCAGTTGATATATATATATATATATGTATATAATATGAGAACACATAGATCACATGAGGTATGTGGATTTGATGAGTATCGTAATACTTCGCCTAGGGCTTCCATCACTTAAGAGGTCAGAATCAAGATTCAAATGCATTGAGAAATTATGGAGAAAAACATATAGGATATCAAGATATCTGGAGGAAAGCAAAGGAGTAAACAAACAGGTGTATACATATATATATATATACGGCAAATGCCTGGGTTTTGCCCGGACCCGCAATGACGATGGACGACGCATCATCATCATCATCATCATCATCAATCACCATCATCATCATCATCATCATCATCATCAACATCAACATCATGATCATCAACATAATCATCATCAACATCATCAAACCCTTATTGACGATCTTCAATGAATGTAGAAGTTGACCAGGGGTGGGAGAATTAAACCCTTATTGGAGATCTTCAATGAATGTAGAAGTTTAACGGGGGTGGGAGAATTAAACCCTTATTGAAGATCTTCAGTGAATGTAGAAGTTTAACGGGGGTGGGAGAATTCAACCCCTATTGAAGATCTTCAATGAATGTCGAAGTTTAACGGGGGTGGGAGAATTAAACCCTTATATTGAAGATCTTCAATGAATGTAGAAGTTTCACGGGGGTGGGAGAATTAAACCCTTATTGAAGATCTTCAATGAATGTAGAAGTTTAACGGGGGTGGGAGAATTAAACCCTTATTGAAGATCTTCAATGAATGTAGAAGTTTAACGGGGTGGGAGAATTAAACCCTTATTGAAGATCTTCAATGAATGTAGAAGTTTAACGGGGGTGGGAGAATTAAACCCTTATTGAAGATCTTCAATGAATGTAGAAGTGTAACGGGGGTGGGAGAATTAAACCCTTATTGAAGATCTTCAATGAATGTAGAAGTTTAACGGGGGTGGAAGAATTAAACCCTTATTGGAGATCTTCAATGAATGTAGAAGTTTAACAGGGGTGGGAGAATTAAACCCTTATTGAAGATCTTCAATGAATGTAGAAGTTTAACGGGGGTGGGAGAATTAAACCCTTATTGAAGATCTTCAATGAATGTAGAAGTTTAAAGGGGGTGGAAGCATTAAACCCTTATTGACGATCTTCAATGAATGTAAAAGTTTAACGGGGGTGGGAGGATTAAACCCTTATCGAAGATCTTCAATGAATGTAGAAGTTGACCAGGGGTGGGAGAATTAAACCCTTACTGGAGATCTTCAATGAATGTAGAAGTTTAACGGGGGTGGGAGAATTAAACCCTTATTGAAGATCTTCAATGAATGTAGAAGTTTAACGGGGGTGGGAGAATTAAACCCTTATTGGAGATCTTCAATGAATGTAGAAGTGTAACGGGGGTGGAAGAATTAAACCCTTATCGAAGATCTTCAATGAATGTAGAAGTTTAACGGGGGTGGGAGAATTAAACCCTTATTGGAGATCTTCAATGAATGTAAAGTTTAACAGGGGTGGGAGAATTAAACCCTTATTGAAGATCTTCAATGAATGTAGAAGTTTAACGGGGGTGGGAGAATTAAACCCTTATTGAAGATCTTCAATGAATGTAGAAGTTTAAAGGGGGTGGGAGCATTAAACCCTTATTGACGATCTTCAATGAATGTAGAAGTTTAACGGGGGTGGGAGTTGAAATATTCCCTAATATCTTTGTTGATTTTCCCAATTGAATGTAAAGTTTAACGGGGGTGGGAGTTTAATATTCCCTAATACCGTTTTGTTTTTCCCATAGGAATTTCGGGTGGTGTTTTGACATTTTTTTATATAGTCCCTAGTACCTTTGTTGTTTTCCCTGTAGGAATTTAAGGTTTAACGGGGGTGGGAGTTTAATATTCCTCATATCTTTGTTGATCTTCCTAATTGAATGTTAAGTTTCACGATTTGAGAGTTTAAAATTTCCTGGTACCTTTGTTGTTTCTCCCATAGGAATTTCAAATGATATGTCGTTTTTGTTTTTCCCATAGGAATTTCGGTGTTTTGACCTTGTTTGTTTAATAGTCCCTAGTACCTTTGTTATTTTTCCCAGAGGAATTACGGTAATTTGCAACATCATTTGTTTGTGAATGGGAAACCTCTACGCTGCAACGCCTGGGCAAAGCCCAGGCGTTGGCGTCGATATATATATATATACAGTAAATGTAATAAGCATCATGATAAACAAGTGGCTATAAGCCTATGAGAATTCAAACTGTGTAAATATATAAATATATAACATGTCACATATATATATGTCTGGTGTGTCTGTCTGTATGTATGTATGTAGCATGGATGTATGTATGTATGTATGTATGTATGTATGTAATGTATGTTATGTTATGTAATGTAATGTAATGTAATGTTGTGTTGTGTTGTGGTTTTGTTTTGAGTATGTATGTATGTATGTATGTATGTATGTATGTATGTATACGTATTATATATAAATATATTTATATTTATTTACACGTACATATATACATATGTATGTATGTATGTATGTATGTATGTATGTATGTATGTATGTATGTATGTATGTATGTATGTATGTATGTATGTATGTATGTATGTGTATATATATATAAATAGATTGTGTATTATTGTGTATACAATATATCGGCATGAAGCGTGGACATGCATTTTTCTACCACCAAACGTGCTTGCCACTTGTTATGTTGTTCTGTAGTTCGTAAATCTGAACTACATCTGGCTTGATGACACCTATTGTCTCACATCATGTATGTTGAGTACGTTGAGGCCGTTGCGAGGTTGCTATAATTGTCCATACCGGAAGAACAATGGCCACAAAAACAGAAGAGTATCACAGTATGAGCTTCCAGCTGACATACCGCTTTGGCTTCCAATTGTGGGGACAGAAACAGTAGTACCACCAGAAACAATCGATGTATTCCATTGGTCTGGGATGTGTTTTTTTCGAGCTAGACATACCCCAAGTTATCCCAATAAGTCCCTGGTGGTTGAGCGAAATAGTGCACGAAAGTGTGAAAATCATCACTCATCATTCAATCTTTAAGGGAAATGGTCAAAACACTGTGTATCTTGATATAATATCTGCAATTAACCTATGGGTGTGTCTGAAAACTTGGTGTACACAAAAAATCTCGAAAATACAATAGGTAATGATTATTATTGATAAACCCGTGGATTTGGGGTACCCTAGTTTGAGACAACCCATTTCAAGTCTACCTATATATATATTTATGCATAGTATACTCCACAATGGACGTACATGTATCATGAAAACCACCAACCAGAACAATCAAACGAAATAAGGCAAAAACGTTGCGTGCTCTGAAGCAAATGGTATTGCGGCCAAGAGTGGTATCAGAGCGCCAAACCAACCGTTCCAAACTCCTGCGAGCTCTGTGATTCACTCTCCATCTGGAAGCAAAACGGTGAGAACTTTCCGGGAATCAATTAAACAGCATGACAATGCACACATGGAAATAAATGGATGACTTGTTCATAAGAATGAACAAGTCATCCATTGTTTGCCATTTGTGCATGATTTTTCATTGAGAATGGGGGATTATGTGCAGTTCCCATTGCCAGTATTGGATTCCTAGATGGTGCAGAAAACTCAGAAAACTCAAATCACACTTTCCGACATGGTACTACTCAGATTAAACCCCTAAATGCATTTGCTGTGGGTTTCTTTGGTGCCACTTAGTAATTACTCCCCCTGCACTTCCACTTGCCCAAGTGCCATTTCTTTCGACCCATAGAAAATGGGCAATGTCTTGCGGTCAAGTGGGAGGGTTCATCATTGAAGAATTCATTCAGAAGTCATCTTTTTATGCACTGAGAATTAGCTTGATATATACATAGGGATTATATAGAGACGCATACTGTGTTATATATATATATATGTATATATATATAATTATATATCCATACTGTCTATCTATATATCTAATGATATTTACATATACAGAAATGGATACATCAATGGCAACATCATATCACACAACATGTTACTGCCAATTCGACCCTGCGAAATGTCCTGACTCACTTCTCAGCTGTTGCAGTGCGAGCCATGTGTTCAGCCCAAACATTGTAAGGATCCTGCAGAGCTTGGAAGTTTAGATCTACTGATTTTTTTTTAAACTAAGGTATGGCTGTCAAAAATAAAGGCTGATAATCCAAGCGACCATCCAGGTATTGCGCTACCTAATATGATTTAGATAGTGAAAAATGAATGGTGATACAATGAATTTTTAATGATATAACCAAATGAAAGGGCGTCTACATATAATAAACTTATGCAAATATGGCATATGAACAATATTTAGAGCAATGCTTTGTATATGTCTATATATATATATATGTATACCGGAAAATACTACCAATATATCAAATATATCAAAAGAATGCGTAAATTATATATTAAATATAGAAATATGTATATATATGTATATATATGTATAAATATATATATATATATGTATATATATATATATGTATATATATATATGTATATGTATATATATATATATATACATATGTATACATATATATATATATATGTATTTGTATATATATATATATATACATGTACATATAATCATATACCAAATGTGTATGCATCCTTAAAACGGTAAGTTACCCTCTGGTAAACTAACATAGCTATTGAAAATGGCCATTTATAGTGGATTGTCCTATTCATAATGGTGATTTTCCATAGCTATGTTAAATTACCAGAGGGTAACTATTGAACTGTTAGCTTTTCCCACTATTTGTAGGGTTTCAACCATCCCAAATTGGTGGTTTATCGGATTTCGCTGGCTCCACAGAGGGTTTGGATCCCCCATCAAGGTCTTTTTCACGACAGGATGAGCATGTCATGATTTGGTGGGGTGAACTTACCCTCTGGTAAACTAACATAGTAACATAGCTATTGAAAATTGCCATTTATAGTGGATTTTCCATTAAACATGGTGATTTTCCATAGTTATGTTAGTTTAGCAGAGGGTAAGCAAAATATATCCGAAAGAACTGGGCCAACCCAAGGAAGTTTGGAACAAACTCAGCAGCAAGCCATCAGTTCAGTGTCATTTGATGTCACGATTGCCATGAATTTTTGGTTTCCCTCTCATTATCTTATTATGCATCATGTCCATGAGACTGGAAAAACTCCCTTGACAATCATTGCTTGTGATGTCCGCAGTTCATGCCTGAGCGGTTTCTACTTGTCAGGATTCTTGATGCGTCTTGAAACGAACCTCTTTGGGCAAATTAACCAGTGATATCCCCTGCGTATCACAAAATTAAAGAAAAGTAGAGACCACTCACCGGCCCCCCTGCTGTTGCCCAGTTTCCTATGAATGCCATGAAGCATGCCACGCTTCTCTCTCCGACAGAAACGCTCCCAAGCCAAACGTGCAGGCTCTACAAATGTAGGATCTGCTACAAGCATGATCCTTGCTGCCTGACACCGAGCGGCCACTCACGGGTTGTTGGCTGTCACGGGTTGTTGAATCATAGAAAAGACTTCACTGTGTTGGTGGCAGCATATGCAGAGTTTACCCTGGCTTTTAGAGCCGACACTGTCAGCTTCTGGGGTTTCCTGAAGATTTTCCCTTCAAGCAATTCTGGGATGATTTGAATGCAACACACACAGGCCATCAACATCCCTTGACAACGTATTTCCTGCTGAAATCAAAAGGTAAAGAGGTAAAGTTGCGAGAAGTCTGAGGTCATCTAACCAACTAGGGATTACTAACATTTACTAACCACCAAGTTTCTCTTTATCAAGGGCTTATCAACCACCAACACCACAAAATCAAGGGCCTGCGAAAACCAACTGTTGTCACTAGCGTTGGTCACTGGCACCACCTACAAGGTGGTACCCCAGTTCGGAATCGCTAAGTTGGCTTATAACCAATACAACCTAGGGTTTATTGTAGATATGTGTATATATATATGATATATATATATATGATATATATATATATATGATATATATATATATATGATAATGTATATACATATATATATATATTAATGTATCTATATAGTTAATGGAGTCTGTAAATAAACTTATAAGTGGAGGAAGGAAACAACCTTGTATGGATCTCAACGCAATTTGGACACCATGTCCAAGAAAATCTAGAACTGGGCACTGCCGGATGTTCAAGAAAAATACTCTCAAACAATTGGCCAATAATCTATGGCCTTCCAAAATAAACACACATATATACATATATATATATATATCATTATATTATGCACATGGTATCATGCATCTCTATATATATATGGTACCCCCACCCTCTCAAACCTACCTTTTTTTTACATATTCATCACATGGTTGGGTCAAAAGGGGGTTACCTTACATACAGGCCTATGTTGAGGAAAAAATGGCAATAGTTTCAAAAGGGGGTGCTGCATATGTAAATATAGTAGTGTAGTAAGCAGTTTAGGCTGATTTAACTTAACTTCAATGATAGCATTCTGGGAACAATGCATTCAGAATTCCTGACCTACATCTAAGATCTGAGATTCCTCAGATTCCCTCAGGACTCCTGGGCAAAGCGTAGATCTTAGATCTTAGATTGGGGGAACAATGCATCCTGAACTCATTCCTCTGGAAATGCATCCATCTTGGTTTTCCCTCAAGTAGATGGGATTGATTTAACTACCAGGTTTACGACCATTTCGCGGCCGTGGTAAAAATGTCCATGATGTGAATAGAAAATAAGCACGCCGCTATAGCGAAGCAATGATTTTGCACATCCAGCATGTGAAAATGCATCATCGTCGTTTCAGAAAACTACTTGTTTTGTTTGCACTGTCATCATCATAATGAACATCATCATCATGATCATCATCACATCATCACCATCATCATCATCATCATCATCACAGCATCATCATCTTCAGCATCATCACTAGCATCCTCAGGATCATATAGATAGTCAGCAGCTGCAGCGTCAGTTTCTTCCTTCAGCTGCGTCCACGCTCCGCGAACCCCCACCCCACCCCACCCCTTCAGTTGCGTAGCATCCAACATGTGTGCAACGTGCAAGGAACGTTAACCGTTAACATGCCCCACCCCACCCCAACCCTTCAGTTGCGTAGCATCCAACAGTTCAACATGTGCAACGTGCAAGGAACGTTAACATGCCCCACCCCACCCCAACCCTTCAGTTGCGTAGCATCCAACATGTGTGCAACGTGCAAGGAACGTTAACATGCCCCACCCCACCTCACCCTAACCTTTCAAATACGTTCAAAACGCAAAAAAAGCCACTTCGTGCCACGGCAGTGCAGCGGTCGGTGTCCAACTACCATGAAAGAGTTTCAACTTTGTTTTTTTGCCCCAAGCCTGGAAAAAATAATGAACATACTGTGAATAGTTGTAAGGATGAACAAAATAGCATGTTTCCCTTGAAGAAAAAACTAGTTGACAAGAGCAGGTTTTTTCAAAGTACTACTGCATCTATTGAGGTGTTCTATGCAAAAGCAATGTTGCATTATCTTGAAGGAATGCCCCGCCATGTTTAAGGAATGTATCACTCTTGTCAATGGAACATTGCAAAAAAGTACTATAATGCTACACTACAACTCTTTTCGAAATATACTACTGTTTCCAGTGAATACTGCATAGACTAAGAGAGCTTTCTTATTGAAGTAATTCTGTGCCCTTTCAAGTCACTTTTCTTCAGAAGGGGCACTGTCAATTTCACAGAGGTAGCATTTGTGAGTTTTTTGTTTAAGCAAAGACGGGTCACATCTGTTCATTTCAAGTATACTTTCAAAAAATGAGTGCATACTGACTCTAGCAAGCACAATGTAGCAGTACTTGTGCCACATGTGCAGCATTTTCTTTTAAACATCCAACTTGTTTTTCAACAAATATAGTGTGGCTTAGAGAAAACATGTATGTTCTTCGAAGTAACGGCTACATTTCTGAAGATAGTCTTATTTTATTTGAAGAGATACTGCATTTGATTGAAAACTGCCTTGTACGTTGCAGGACCTTTCGTGCAACGTGTTTCTTCCTTGCAGAAGTATTGTACTTCTGGAACGTTGTGAAATGGGTCTGTGCTCATGTTTTGAATGAAAGAATGCATATTTACATGTTGGGGAAAAACACTAGCTGATCAAGTTCTGAAGAGATATATGTTCAGGAGAAGCGGTTTTCTGCAAAGGAATGCTGCCTTTCACTGAGCCAGTGGCAGCACACCCTATGGGGTAACAGAAAGAGATATACAAGGTATCTAATAATAAGAAGTGTGGGCCATGGTGTCTGTTTGTAAAGCCTGCTCTTGTCAATTAGAATTGGTTCTTCAAGAGAAGGATGCATGTTTCTGTTTGATCGTCTCTTGTAGTCATTTACAGTGTTTCCACTGCCTTTTTCAGGTTTGGGGAAAAGACCCAAAGTTGAATGTTGTTTTTTTTCATGTGGGTTGAATCACTACTTAAGGGAAACTTTGCAGAGAGGTGGAGGTACTAGGAGGTACGTAAATTATACTTAAAACATAGTTTGGAAGGAGTAAGGACTAAGAGGTCCTAGGACCTCCTAAGACCTACACATCCAAAGTATTGAGCCGCTGCAGTAGTACAACAAGAGACAGAAGCTACGTAGTAAGGAAAACAGGCCAAAGACATATCTACCATATTGAACATCAAATAATATGTCTGAAAGACTTGAAAGCGCACAAAATCCAAAATTCCTATGTCACAAGAAGGAACAAACACAGTGTAAAAACCAATGTAAAGCTTAAAATTGACATTTGGCCACAGCGCCGTGCGCATTCTGTTAATATTTGAATTGAAACTCCTTGTTGGGAGCCCAATACGATGGTCGAACACGCTGCAAATACAATCAAAATATGCCATTGTATCTACACATCAAGCATCAGAACTCATCACACTCAAGCATCCAAAGTCTTCAAATGAATGAAAGAATGTTGGTTGTTCTTGAAGGCAAAAACAAACAAAAAACACTGTAAAACTCAATAAGAAATCAAAACCGGTAGGTTTCAGGCGGGCTAGCATGTATATATATATATATTAATAAGTATGTTGATTCATAAATGATATGTATATATTAATATAATTTAATATATATATATATATACATGTATATAATTATATGTTTTGGGACCGTCCTCGGCGGGGCATAGCACCACGGTGGCCAGCAGTTCCGCCAGGAAAGCGCAGAGACAGAGCATTGGGATGTGCATCGCCAGTGACACCTGCGACCATCACCGAGAAGGGGCGAGAAGGGGGGCATGTTGGGTAAGTATGGCCCCTTTGATATCCCATGATCATGGCAAGTTTGGAATTTTTGGTGATGATATCCTCTGGTTGTTTAACATAGCCATGGAAATAGATGGTTTACCTATTAAAAATGGTGATTTTCCATGGCTATGTTGAATAACCAGATGGTAAACCACAAAGAACTCTGGTTTTCCATGGTTTTCCCATCATGTTCAATCAAATCCATGTGGCAATTTTTGGATCTCAACAAAACATCGGAACCCAGGCCACACAACAGTACGTTTGATTGCGGCAGCCGACAGCCGGCCTTGCTAACTTGAAAAACCGCCTTCCACATTTCAAACAAACCTCGGATTTTGAGTGTTCTGGCTTGTGCGAGTAAAAAACTACACATTTTGATGGGGATCAGATTGGGATCTAATTAGGTCTAGATTATGAGAATTATATAGAATTATAACCATGGTCAATCTTTGATAGTCCACAAAAAGAATGTCTTTTGCTGGTGGGTTATTTTCCATTTACCCTCTGGTAAACTAACATAGCTATGGAAAATCACCATTTTTAATGGGAAAACTCACTATAGATGGCCATTTTCAAAAGCTATGTTAAATTACCAGAGGGTAGTTTCTATTCATCCAGTTGGTCGGGGATTCATGTTGAAAAACCGCTGGCAGCAAAGTGCGTTTTGAAACGTATCATGGCACCCCCATAAAACCATAGGAAAACCATAGGAAAATGGGAAAATCATAGGAAAACCATAGGAAAATGGAGGTTTACCCTTTGGTTATGTCAAAATAGCTATTGAACATGGCCATTTATAGTGGGTTTTCCCATTAAAAATGATGATTTTCCATGGTTATGTTAGTTTACCAGAGGGTTTATGTCAAACAAAAAGTGTTTTGCCTTCTACTTCTTTTCTGCTGGCCATGAGGTTCTTCACTGGGGGATAGATGGCATAGCCTCTGGTAATTTCACATAGTTGTGGAGAATCTCCGTTTTCTAACATGTTCAATAGCTAAATCATCGATGACTTGGCAATGAAATTGAACATCAAAAAACATGTGGGTTTGTCTGAAAATGTTGGGTATATTCCCAATGAAATAGCCATTTAATAGGGATAATGATCAGCAAAACCATTGGGTTTAGGGGTACACTATTTTCAGACACACCCATGTATAGGAAAAACATGGAATATCAATTGTTGGATGTTGATTAGTGGGATGGGTATGAATTTTGACAAGTTTTCCCCAGCTAATTCAACCCCTATGAGACCATGGTCATGAAGTGGCAAACGGAGTGTCTTTTTGGTGGTCATGATTTTCTTTTATCACCCTGTGGCTCTTCGCAGGAAATCACACATTCATACGATCTTTTGACCCTAGCTCGAATGGTGCTAAATATCAATAGCAGGTAGTTTCATTCATATTTAGACTAACGATAATTCTAACCTGTGGATTTTCATTCTCAGGCCATGTTTCAATCTTTTCCAACTTTTTTTTTATTTTTCAGTTTCTTCCAACTTTGGTTTAGTAATTATCTAATTTATTTTAATGATTCTGTTTGATTCAAGAAAAACAAATATGTCAAATTTCTTGAAGCATCGAATTCCTTATTAAAACACACAAACAAAAAAAAAACACCCAACCATTTTTTCAAGGTGTAGCCTATGAGCAACTCAGATCTCCAATAGTGTGTTCGTTGGTGAGGGCTTCTATTGTGTCCTACTTTTCCTTGGTCGGATTTGTTCATAAATCCCTTTATGCCTTTCTTTGGTATAGCTAGTGTTAGCTTTCATCTTGCTAGAGTGGGACCTGAGCCTTCAAAAGCAAAGAAATGAGTCCCCGTGTGATGTGAACAGATGCAAAATCAATTGAAATCAATTGGAATTCTTTCTTTTCAATTGATTTTCGTACGCTTTCAAAGGAAAATCAATTGAAAGTAAATTTAAATCAGTTGAAAGTAAATTGAACTCAATTGAAATCACTTGAAATCCTGAATTTAAGATCATGATCCAAAACTATTCCAGATCGCATCCCTCAAAACCATTCTTTTTGGAGAGTCTTTCAAATGTTTGGGGGTGATCCCCCCCCAAGAACTAATCAGGACCTGACAGATTCAGCCATGGGTACCTTGCCCTCTGGTCACCCTAGCCAACTAAGGCTTTTTTGGAAGGGTACGAACACTCAACAATCTCTATTTCATGAATGATATCTATACTTCACTAATATCTATACATAATGTATTGATATGTATTAGGTAAATATTTAGTAGTAATAGACATACTAATGATAGATAGTATGAATCCCATATATTCATCCCCACAACAAAAAACACCAAAAAAATAGTGAATATCCTAAAATTAGTAGAATAGTAATGAATAAATATAATCAATAGTAATCATTGGTGTTTTGAATCATGGATTTTACTATTACTATACCCTGTATTACTTTTACTAATTACTATGATAATGATTTTAGTGAAGTATTAGTAAATACCATAATAAGCCTAGATAGTTCAATAGGAAACTAAAACTATCCTTGTCTAGGGCATATTCCATGACTGTAATAGGAATCCTAGAGAAATCATCGATACCTTATGACAACCCCCACCAGAACACTGGAGGCTTTCGAAAATATCCAAAACGTCAGGATTACCCTCACAGAAGACTCAAAACGCATGCCAAGAGAGAGCAAACACTAGACTTGATAGCGGAATGATGAATCAATATCAGGATGATGAATCAGAAAGCACCATTGAAGACATGTTCACAATGGTTTATCAAGATGTATAATTTGGTTCTCAAGAAAAATCGTCAAACACCGACCAGTTTAACCTTCGGTCCAAGAGCCATACTTTACCCCTAGTTGTATATATTTATGTATGGATCATTCCCAGTCAAACAAAAATGCTTATCAACCACTTACATCGACGAAAAAATCATGCACATCAACCACTTTCATCTTTTCTTACTTACATCGGCTAACCACAACCATCGACTAAAACAAAAATCGACTTACCATCTGGTTCTGACCAACAGTTCGCCATGGAAAATCACCATGCTATTAATAGGTAAACCATCTATTTCGATTAGGGCCATCGAAAAACCATGGCTATGTAACAAATAACCAGAGGGTATCCCATTAAATCACCAGTGAAATCCCATTAAATCACCATTTTCCATCATTTTCCAACCATTTTCAATAACCAGAGGGTACCATCCAATTTTTCTGTCAGGCTGCCATACTTAAAGGCTCCATGTAAGAAGTATCCCGTAAAGGTGGCCCCAGCGCCACTCAGCAGTCGCCGGGGTCCATGGCTCTGGACCAGTTGACAGGCCATGGCCAACATCCCTGGACTTCGGCCGTTCCTGGGCCGTGGAAACCATAGGAAAACCAGAGGAAAACCATAGGAAAACCATAGGAAAACCATAGGAAAACCATGGGAAAACCATAGGAAAACCATAGGAAAACCATGAGAACATGGAGATGTTTGCAAAAAAAAACATAAATGAATATGATAAATATGATTGGTCATGATTTTTTTTATAGCTGATTTATGATAGGCAATGATAGCTGGACATTTTTCTCCAATTTCAGTATTTCAGTATGGTTCTCCGAGAACCTGAACGATAACCATGATATGTCTTACCCTTCTGTAACCGTTACAGAGAGATGGGAAACTGTACGCGTTTTCCACATTTCTGTTCATTTCCCTCATATTTGGTTTGAGGATTTTCATGATATGTATGGTTCCAGATATTTTTTCTTTGTGAATGTGATGATGCTCAGAAAGTGTGCCCAGACCTTGTGCAACCATTGAAACAATACATCTGTTGTTCAGGCGGCCGACTGCCTTCTCCAGAAAACTCTCGACTTGAGACTCTGGGGGATTTCAAAAAATGAGGACCCAAAAGCATCAACTGGAACTTTTATAAATATGCTATGTAAAACGAACATCTATGGCTTTGGGGTACCCCAATGGGAGAAACCAGAATTTCCGGCCTATCTGACTTCTGTATGTACCTGTAACCCATGAGCCATATTAGCCATGGTAAAATCAGGATCATTTGGTTTGCAGGTTTTACATTTTGATGCAAGAACTAAACTCTGTCATGTTGGAACATGCAAAAACCATACCTTTTTTGATTCCCAGGTGTGGCTTCCAGACATGTGTTGCTCTTGTTTTTCCACATGTGATGCGGGCGAGCCACCAAACACACTTGAATGCTGTAAAATATACTTTCCAAAGAACAATATTGAACCATATTAAATGATATTACACATCATGGGTGAACACGGTGCCCTGCGGCAAGAAGCTTTTGAGGGCGAATCTGCCGCTGGCAACATGGAATCCCAAACCTATGTAACTCAATATCATGAAGATATGTTTTAAATGTTGTTAGTATGTCTAATTTCACTATACTAGCAATCAATGTTAACACATATGTACAGAATGCTGTACAGATATACTGTATATATATATATATATACACACATATATCTATATATATATAAATGAAAACATATAAAATGATATAATACATATATATACTGTATATATATAGTATACATCCAAACATACACATATATAACCATATATATATATATACATACAATCATTGATAAAGCTAAAACTAATTATGTTCGATGCTGTACCCCAATCTTAATCGTCACTCATGAATATAATTACTGACTGCATGGAGATTTTGGTACAAACATTCCCGTAGTAGCTTATCTTAGGTACAAAGCCAACAAAAACAACTCTAAGCTAGCACACTTTTCATTGAATTATGCTTACACCCCTATTCCTTGTTTGGTTTAAAAATCCAGGTTGTTGGATCACCGGGTCTCCGTTCTTCTTCCGCTTGCTGTGACGTTTTCACCACGTCAATGGGCGTTGCTATCACATGCGACAGACTGGAGCAAAGCCCGCCGGCAATAAAAAATCCTGGGCCCAACTGCATCGGATACACCATCTAGTTGATGGTTTTCACATTTTTTAAAACTGGTTTCAATACGTTTCAATATTGTTTTAAAATCTGTTTCAATTCACCCTAAGAATGGTTCCGAGTCAATTTTGTTCAATCACAAGTCAAGGTAGGGTAGAAGCAAAAAACATGAAACCACAAACCATCCAAAAAGAAGGAAGCAAACTAATGGATGTTGGGGTCAGCAAAAAACCGGGTGGGTAAGAAACAAACAAAAAACCGGGCGGCTTTCAAGAAGGTAAAGTCATATGGGAAACAATTGTTAGACAGTAGAATCTGCATTTTTTTCCCCCAAACAGGCGGTCATGCAAATAACTACATATATATATAATACTATATAATCAAACAAAAACTTGGGATAAAACGTGTCAGCAACAGCAAAGGAATGCTGAACACTTCTACTATCACTGTTTCATTCTGCCTCCATACAATCCGTACAATCCAACAATTACGCATTAAATAAACTGAAAAAAAAAACAAACAAATTCTTCCAAACTCATACTGAATCCACCATCCAAAAGTCCAAGAGGTCCAAGAAGAGCCAACAAATGCGCGGGACTTGGTACAGCCACCGGCACGGCTGCCAGCACGTGCCGCGCTGTGCCCGGCACAGCTCTTGGCTGCGGCCGCAGCGCGGCTGCGCTGCGCAGCGGCACAGTGCTGCGTGCGGCCAGCCGTGGCGAAGCGAAGAGTAGAGGTCTGGCAGCCAGGAAACTTAGGCCATGCAGTAGACCTTAGCTGTGGATACCCTCTGGTAATCAACCGCGGCTGGAAAATAGCTGAACTAAATGGAAGGTTTAAATGGAAAATTCATCTATAGATTGCTATAGATGATGGATTTTCAAGTGCTACATTTGATTACCGGAGGATAAGTCAAGCTCAGGATATCAGGTATATCATGGTATATCCACGAAACTGATGTGGCATATGGCTGGCATGCACATATTGCATCATATTACAAAGTATTGATATCGTGGTATTTTTTAGCCAGGGTTGCTCCCAGCATAGTCAAGTAGACTGCAGCTGTGGAGCATGCTGTCGTGTCAAATGTTTTTGTTGCATCTTGTGGTCGACTGAACCAACAATGATCGTAAAAAACAACAACCATCATAACCATCGGGGTTTCATGGGATATATCGGATATATGACCAACATTGACCAACATTGACCCCCAAAAAAACAGGGTTTTTGCTGTATGTGCCATGGTCAAAAAAAAATTGGGATCAATGAATGGGGCCCCTGGTCATCCATCCCATTTTTTGGGTGCCAATCCTCCACAGGCAATTTACCCATTCACCGAAAACATGTCAAGATCAGGATATATGCATATAGCTATCTTATACAAATATTTACCATGTATATATCAGTTACATCTATACCATGTATAACTATATACCAGTTATATTTGATATCTGTGTAACTGATATACAGCTTGGGCTGTATCTGGTATATACTTATACATGTTACTACTTGGAGGATCATCGCCATAAGGGCTTGATAACCTTGGATAACCTTGGGACCTTGTAAGTCCCCATTGGTGGATTCTCCCACTTACAAACCACTGGGATGATCCTCCAAGTGAAAACAACGATCGAGGATTCTTCGGCGAGTTGGGTTGACTGGATAACCTCTAGCTACATGTGGGAAAAAAATAGCCAGAGCATTGAGTATGAACCACTTCCTTTAGGTGCAAGCTCCAAGTGGATCCAAGTGGAGGATTATCTGGGATTCACAAAAAATGCCATACACCATTGGACCATCCCCAAGTCATCACCTGCAGCAAGGGCACCGAATCGGGAGCGCCTGCGGCGATGCAACCGCTCGGACGACTCCATGGCCCGCGCGAAGTGCGAGGCGTTTTTTAAGCGTGTAGCGGCTTAAGTTGGCGCTAAGCCAATGGAGTAATGTTTTCTTTGAGCAGTGTTTCATGAAGAGTACTGGAAACAGAAATCCATTCAGTAATTCGTTTTCAGTAATTAGACCATTGACGAATATCAATCCCTTCAGTACTTGAGAATGTTAATTCCTGAGTTCTGAAGGGATTGATATTCGTCAATGGTCTCTATCTTGTTTGGGATTGGATCAAGTGCGTCAGAACTTCAGAACTTGGGCGTTTCCGCTTGGATGTCAGGATGTCAGGATCTGCGAGGATCTGTGTCTAGCCAGATTTGTAAATTGGGCGATTCCGTGAAAATGGGGCATACCCCAAGATATGCTCATTGAAATTGGGGCAAGGATGGGCAAGGATGATTTTCTCAGCCGTGATACCTTGGGGTTTTGCCCATGTTTAACACACAAAGCCGTGTGTTTTGGTGCTAAACTTTCGCTCATCGCGTGCAACAACAAATCAGCTGATTGTGTGCAACTAAGTGCCACCTCTTGCAGCCAGGGCTGAATGAACGGATTTGATGAGCTGATAATGTCGATCCCTGTGAAAAATATTGAAAAATAGTCAAGATCATCTTTACAAATAGGCCTTGAAATTGAACTACTTAAAATCACCAACCGGGTGTAGTTTAAATCAGCAATTTACCATAGATTCAATCGGTAAACATTGGTTTTGCCCAGCAAAAGTAGGGTGTTGTCGGGATCTTCCTCCTGTAAAAAGGTCCCAACAAAAAACATGGATACTCCTCATCTACACTATGATATGGATTCAAACCTGGCCAGTGATGTAGGAATTTGTAGGAATCTACACCTTTCGATACCTTCTGTACATAGATATGATAGTATGGTCAACAGTGGCCACATAAATTTGATCACAGTAAATTACGGTGTTATACTACATCATCACGGAATGGGTTCTGCTGGGACGATTGCCATCCCTAAACTTATGGGAAAATTACCAAACTGCTTAACTGTTGATTCTAGTTGGTGAACTGTATATACCCTCTGGTAATTTAACATAGCTATGGAAAATGGACCATTTATAGTGGATTTACCCATTAAACATGCTGATTTTCCATAGTTATGTTAGTTTACCAAAGGGTATATATATATATATTCCATTATATTCGCGTGAATATCCCATGATATGTTCAATATTCCCCTGGATGTGCCATTCAAATCCCCATAACATTCCCATGAATATACCATAAATCGCAAGAATATTTCCATGAACATACCATTCATCCAGCAAGCCCGCAATGTTTCACCCATGAAAATTCCATGATATTCCAGTGATATTCCCATTAATATCACACTAAATCCCCATAATCTTCCAATTATATTCCTTTTTCACTAATATTCACCTAACATGATTAAACCATGGGCATTTCAGACTAATCAAATGTCTAATCTGTTTGTAAATTCCAATATTCACAATGAACAAATCCCCATGAATATTCCCAAACTCACCTCCCGAGAAACAACCCGACCCCCGGTCGGAAGCGCAGCACCTGGTTGTAGCCACCGGCCGGGTACCCAGTTGGTCCTGGGCCGTGTGGCAGACAAATATTCAATGGGAATTTCAGGAACCTAAAATGGAGGTACGTTAGTACCATGTAAAGCCATAATATGTTTTTGAGGTAAATCCACATACACAGACCTTGTATATATATATATGTATATATATATATATATTTATGTATATATATATATATATTTATGTATATATATATATATATAAGGTAGCTCCAATTTAGGCATTACCTGAAAGCCATTGAAATGTTCTGGATATACTGATTACTATGATGATTGTATACTTTTTTGTGTTTCAATCAACTCATCAATGGGATGATTCTTCAGGAATCAAGAAGTCACTGATCATATATATATATATATCATCGGTATATGTATGACATAATATGTATATATACTTATATAGGAAAAATATATTAATTATAATTATACCGTATATCTACGTATGCAGCAACCAGCTACAAAGTGGGAAGATCCAAGTTGATTTTTTTTGCTTGCACTTTGGGTCGCTCAATGTCTTGCTGTTCTGACCATGTGAACCGTTGGAGCCCTTGGATTTTGCTAAGATCGCCGGCAAAATTCATCATTTGGATTTGTCTCATAGAGTAAGTACTCTTAATTTTATGATAATCATTTTCCCCTTCCGCGTGTTGGAACCACGTTAAGATCAACTGAATGAAGCTCGTGAGTGGAAGCAGATTGGAAGCACCTAACGAATGGAATTAATTGTTTGTACGAGTTATCCTCAGGCTTGTCAAGAGGTTGTTTCAATTATTTCACTAATGCAACTAGCCAGAGGCACCTTGCAGGCTAGTGTCGCTTTCTGTCATTCCATGTTTTGATTTCTTTGTGTTGCTTCTTTTCTTCTCTTTTTGCCCGCCACGATTTTGTTTTTGAATCATGTTCCCATAGTTTCCAATATTTTCCCCATAAAAAAATGACTCATTTTATGAGATTTCCGCATCATTTTCACATATGTCCCCATCATTTTCAAACAAACCCATTTCAAAAAACCGTTCGCGCCAGGTCTTCCCAGCCGCCAGGACCACCATGGGATGGAAAGCCTGCCGCTGAACGTGGCACATTCTATACTATAGGGTCATAAGATGATGATCATGGGATAGGGTCATAATATGGCGGTGTCCTAAAATAGGGGTACCCCCAGTCATCATTCATTTTATAGATGGGATTTTCCATGAAATAAATCATCCATGTTTGGTCATACCATGTCATACCCCATTAGTGTCATAATATTATAACCCTGATCATCGTGTGTATATATATAAAGGGTTCATAATGTCATAACACTCACCATCGTATTGTTAGTTACTAATGAAGCAAAGTATGATGATTATTATAACCATTGTGATGGGGTTATTTACTATGGTTAGAATATGATGGGTTGTAGAATGATGATTGTTACTCTTTTTGAGAATATTTGAGCATAAATTAAATGGTTCATATTATGATGGGCCACTTAGTAACTGCGATGTGAGAGAGATTTGCTAGGCGAGCGAAACCTTGATTTATGGGCATTGTAAAATTCCAAAACAATTATATATATATATATATTATACTAAGTATATATATATATAGATATATCTAAGTATCATAACGAATCATAATGTATCAACAACCGTTACGCTGTAAGGCTGATATATCTCAGGCTTCGCGACGGCTGAACTCCGCGCCTCCCATGTCGTAGTCCTGTCGCTTCTTGGCGTCGGTCAAGGTCTGCCGGTTCGGATCATCACGAGGACCGAAATTCTGGGGATCTAATGGGGATATGATAGGATACTTGGTGGCTCACTAAAGTGGGATGAGCCACCAAGTATGATGGCATCTGGGCAAATTATATCAAATTGTAGAAATTCACTAAGAATGGGATATGGATCATGTATGGATGTTATATCTGGGTAATTTTTGTGATATTTCACTTATAACTTGAACTGTTGGGCCAACTACTGGGATGATTCCCCTATAATCCCAATGAATCCTGTGAGGTCGCGAAAAGTGAGGTCGTGATGAAATTTGCCCGGATCTCTTTGTCGTAACCAACTTTATAATAATCAAAAGCTGATTAGTAGCTGAGGTTAAACCCATGGATACCCTCTGGTAAACTAACATAACTATGGATAATCACAATTTTCAGTGGGAAAATCCACTATTTCTATGGCCATGTTCAATAGCTATGTAACAGTTTACCAGAGGGTATGTAGGATAGCGCCACAAATCGCAGACTAACGGATCATCATCCTGTGGCAGTATTACGTGGCAATACACCAGACATATTCTTGGGGGTTCATGTTCAAACGGTATCAATTCATTATGTCTCTCAAAACCGGTAACCCTTTCCACCGTTAGTTGCCCTATGAAACATTGGAAAAAAAACAATCCCGGTTTTTGGGTACCCAAATTTGCGAATTCCCCCATTATATGTATAATTAATCATTATTATCAGCGAATATCGATTCATATCTATGTCCTCTGGTAATTTAAGGGCTAGATAAGAGTTAGCTTTGGAAAAAATCACCATCTTCAATACAGGAAGATTATCGAACAAACTGGTCAATTTTCCTGTTACGAGTAAATCACCAAAGGGTAGAACCACCGTTCCACCCCATCATTATTAATAAAAAAACCTCCATTTGGGCTGGTACCATGAAGCCCATATCTGAGAAAGAAACAACGAATATCTACCGGGATTCTGGACAAGGGATTCTGGACAAGGCCGATTGGGCTGGCACCGCATCATCCACGATGCGACACATGGGGTCCACTTGAACAATGAAATATATAGATTGAAGATCGCTTAGAAAACCCTCCAATTACCCTCCGGTGTCATGAAAAAACGTGGCTTGCTCATGAAAAAATCCTCCATTTAGTTGGATGATGTAATATAAAATGATTGCTCATTATAGATTAATGATATATAATATTATATAATGATATATAATCATATATATATATATAATTAATCCATTTAGCCAAGGATGATGTTCCCACTAAAACCTCTATTTCGGGCAGCCTAAAACCAGCCAGATCCCGGAGGGATCCGGAGGTACAAAAACCCTTCTGATTTCCTCTTGGGGTAAACCCCTATGGTTGATCGTAAAATTCCATTAATACCAGTTACCAGGCCTGGTAAACTGTTACAGTTTGCGAACTTGAAAATGGCCCAGTCGAAATAGTGAGTTTACCCAGCTACATAGCATGGTGGTGATTGTCCAGTTCGTTATGTAACAGTTTACCAAAGGGTAATGAAAATAGTGATATCGATATCATAAAATATCATAAACCTGAATAAATGATGATAATCATGTCTTAATCAAACATGATGATAGTGATTAACATATATTAACATATGGTTAGTAATGATATATATATATAACCAGAGGGCATTCCCATTCCAGTTGGCTCGAACAATCACCGAAATGCGAAAAAAAACACGAGGAGATCACATGATTTTTTTTCGCCTCCAAGTCGCCAAGGTTCACCCAGTTGGCTTATGTATTAAATGATACTTATTATACTGGTTGGTGGTTGAGCCACCCCTCTGAAAAATATAAGTTCGTCAGTTGGGATGATTATTCCATTCCCAACTGAATGGAAAGTCATAAAATTCCAGGGTTGCAAACCACCAACCAACTAACATAACTATGGAAAATCACCATTTTTCATGGGAAAATTCATCTGTAAATGGGCCATGTTCAATATCAAACTGTTAAATTACCTGAAGGTAAGGTTTGGATACTGTTTGAATATATCATACCAATTATATCTTATTATATCTTATTTAATATCCACCAATGTAGATAAAAACCACCTGATCATCCCACACACCTCGTAAGCATTGGCCACTTGGCTGAAGCGTTTTTGCGCCTAGGATGTCGAGTAGAGGTCGAGGGGCAATGGAAAATCCCGAGGTATTGGTATAACAATACTTGGTTAGTACCCTCCAGTTGCTATTGAAAATGGGTAAACTGTTATTGAAATGGGCAAACTGGAGGTATAACAATAGCAATGGGTAAACTGTTACAGTTTGCGAACTTGAAAATGGCCCAGTCGAAATAGTGAGTTTACCATAGTTTACCCAGCTACATAGCATGGTAATGATAATAGTGATATCGATATCATAAAATATCATAAACCTGAATAAATGATGATAATCATTTCTTAATCAAACATGATGATCGTGATTTACATATGGTTAATAATGATATATATATATATAATCTGGGTAAATTACAATATTTCACTAACCTGAATCTTGCGGCCATAAAAGGGGATGATTCCCCGAATCCATTCTAACCATGATTCCCAGGGCTCGGTCGCGACGTCAGGTCGTGATGAAATTTACCCAATATAATGATGATAATATATATATATATAATATGTTGGTTAATGATAGTGATATAATATATATATATATATAATGATGATAGTGTTTTTTCATGACGCTGCCGAAATCCCCACTTTTGCCTCCAATTTATGACTCCTAACTTTTTACCGACAGACGCTGCCTCTAAAAACATTTCCAGAGACTCGAGAAATCCAGAGACAGGGCATTTTAAGACATCTGGACAATAAGATAACATAAGGCTGTTTTGGGATAGCTACCCTTATGTTCACCAGACCATAACTTATTCTAAGAATCAGCAAACTTGAAAAAAACGAGACAAATGCAAGAAAAAAACATGGAAAAACCAAAAAGCAAATCAGCCAAATCCAAAAAACACAAAAGCAAAATAAAAGGGGAAAAACAGGAAAGTCAAAAAGGACAAAAAAAAATGACTTGTCCATTTGCATTTGTTTTGCGTTTATATTGCTTTCTCGATGTGCTTTTTTTCGCTTTTATTTTGTATTTATTTTGCTTTTTGCCTGGAAAAAATGCGAATAAAAGAAAACAAACAAATCGAAAAAGCACCATAAATGCCAAAAAAATGCAAATGTCCATTTTTTCCCATTGTTTTTTCCCTTTTTGTTTTTCCTTTTTTTCACCATTGATTTTGCATCCGTTTTTTTTTTCAGTTTTGAAGTTTTGCTTTTTGAGTTTCCATGTGTTCTCCTTTTTTTGCATGTTTTTCAAGTTTAAAAAATCATTAGAATAAGCTATTGAGGAAAACATTTTTAGTTATATACCCCAATCCTAACCATCATTCCGGTGAGGTCGCAGTGAGGTCGTCCTAATTTATCCAGATAAATGATAAAGATTGGTGATAATGATAAACATGGTTAAACTTCTGGGCTGATGGTTGATCAATGGTTGGTTCTCATGGGAGTGACGGATTAACCGCCACTCTATGGCCCTTTAACGCGGATACTGAATAAAACAAAAATACTTGGGCCATAAAGTGGTTTTCATTGTGTTTTTGTTGTATTCATTAATGGGTTATTGGGTTTTCATGTATTTTCACTGGGTTATGTTTTTTCTTGTAATGGCTGGTTTTCATTCCCAGTTCATAGATACCATGATACTCCCCAATATGTACACGGTGATTGATACACCCACCCTCAAGAAATATCAACCAACTGTTTCTTGTAGAAATAGCGCCTAAGGTTGCCATGTTTAGCTCTGGTTGGGCCCTGTCGACACGCCCACCTCCTCCCGTTTCTCGGGCGCTTGTCGGTCTGGATGCCACTTCATGGCCTAGCAATGACCAGGTTTAGGATAGGGTTATGGTCGATTATCATTTACCCTCTGGTTATTTAACATAGCCATGGAAAATCCCTTTTTTATGGAGGTTTCTAGCTGGGAAAATCATCTATAAATGGGCCATTTTCCATGGCTATGTTAAATAACCAGAGGGTACAATCCACTGATATCCACTGGTTAAAATCATGTCATTATGGCTCTTGATTGCAATAATGATACGTTATTATCGGTCATAATCCCGATATGGGTTATAATGTGTTAATGCATGGTTCATACTAAGTGCTTGAAATCCACACACTCACCAAATTTAACTAACCAATGAACGAATTCCATATCATCTCATAGTGTCATTACATAGCGAGGTGATCAGATTATTACACAGCTACAGTAATTCCATGATATAGAAACACATAAATATGTATATATATATTGCTTACACTATCCACTCACTAAGTTAATTGATAGCTAAGTCATCACTCCATGGCATTCCATAGCATCTAAAATTCTGAGTAAAGTCATACTCCCAAACAAATGTATAACGTATATAACATTATATAACAAATTATAAAACCATATCAGGCGGCCCAAGATTGAAAAAAAAACATACTCTGAGTGAAGTCATATTCCCATCTTGACAAACATATTTAAATAATAATAAACATTATAAAACCATATCTAGTAAGTCATAGTATTTCCATATATGGATAAACATATATAAAACAACATATCTAGTTGAAGTTCTATCCACATGGTCTCCCCTTCGCTCCTGCTTCTTGTAGGCTTTCTTAATGTCCTCCTGGGATGCGTTCCGGTCCACGCCGAGAATCCTGGGCGACCGTCACTGGTGAAAAAAATCCAGCCGAAAAACCCATGGATCCAGCTGGAGCCTCTGTAAACATAGAAAAAAATATTGAAAATGGCGATAGAAATAGTTGATTGATGTTGATTGATGTTGATTGATGTTGATTGATGTTGATTGATGTTGATTGATGTTGTTTTACCCATGAAAAAACAGTGATTTTCCAGTTTTTTTGATGTAAACGTTTACCAGAGGCTACTTCCCCAGATACAGAAATCCCCCTGATCATCTTGGCGGACGAGGGCTATCCTCCATTGAAACACCCAGGGACACTGAGTGTTGGTGAAATTCACCAAATTTGATCATTGTTGTTCATGACTTTTGCATCTTTCTTGCAAATTCATTCGATTATTGTTTGACTTACCCTCTGGTAAACTAACATAACTATATGGAAAATCATATTTTTTAATGGGAAAACTCACTATAAATGGCAATTTTCAATAGCTATGTTAAATTACCAGAGGGTATCTTGTTTGCAGAGTTTCACGTCAGCACAGGTCTCGCCAAGGGTCTTGTAGGGATCGGTCTCACTAGCAGAGGCAAAACTCCTCTGATGTCACCAAAGCAGGTTGAGTAGATTGAGTAGATATTGGGAAGGTCCTTTTTGAAGAGTCTTCGAGTCTTCGAGGGAGTTTTTCTATCTTTTTCTGTGTAACTATTTTCTGTGTCACTGTTTACCAAGTGTGTAGGTGATGGCAATTTCCAGAAAAAGCTGTGGATATCATGGTGAATTCTTATGGATTCTTATAGCAGCATCTGGAACTACAAACTATACAGTAGATATCAGTAGATGTCAATGGGAATCAGCGTATGTACCAATGTTTGCCATGGAGTTTGGGGATTCGGAGCATCATCTATTAACAACCTTAAACATCTGGTATGTGCTGATTCTTTACTCCCCAACATGCCAAGAATGGCAACTGCTCATCTTGAGAAAACGTGGGTCCGGAAACGCAGGAAGATGGAACTTTTGATGTGGACATCTAAGTTGCTCACCAGAATCCTAAGCAACTAATCCCTTCTCCATCACAGTACCCCCCAAATGAAACCCTGCTTGATTCCATTGGATCTCTTCATTTTGGGCAAGGGGAATGGAATGAATGGAATCAGTTGCATCACAAGAAATCCCATGAAAATATCCATTAAAAACAGTTCACTGAAAATTCATGAAAATTCACATGAAAATGAAAATTGCATCATCCATTGTCTAGTTCACTGAATTCACCGTAATTGAACATAGCCATGGACAATTCAGCATTTGTAGATGCTGTGTAAACCGTTGATTACCTGGTTGCTGGTTGACCTACCCCTCTGAAAAATGATGGAGTTCGTCAGTTGGGATTCTGAAATTCCCAACTGAATGGAAACATTGAAAAACATCTTCCAAACCACCAAGCAGTTGCTACAGAGATCTATAGTCCATTCAGTTCAGTGACTTTGCCAAATGTATAGCTGCCCACTTCTGAATTCTGGGCTTTCCCAGCCATGCTAAAATCCCTTCATCCTGATTTTCGATAGCTCAAGAAATGGACCACAGTTACGTCCAACTCTGAAAAACATCGTGACTCACCATGTTAACTTACCATGATCTCCCCATGTTTGACGGTTAACTCATGTTACCCTCTGGTAAACTAACATAACTATGGAAAATCACCATGCTATTAATGGGTAAATCCACTATAAATGGCCATTTTCAATAGCTATTTTGACATAACCAGAGGGTAACTTACCATTTTAAGGATGCAGCCGCAAAATCCACCTTGACATCCTGGCACCTGAAATTCACCTAAAAAAACCTCGACAAGCCGTCCTAAAACCAAGGCCATGTCCTGTTTCAGGTTGCGGCTGGGGATACACCACGAAAAGGGACCATAACAGGTGCACAGGTGTGGGATTCTAATGATATGACCTGAGTTCTAGGAGTTCATCCTATTAACTGTTAATGAATGTTAATCATACTGGTTGGTGGTTTTAACCATCTTGAAAAATATAAGTTCGTCAATGGGAAGGATTATCCCATATATTATGGCAAAAATGTTTGAAACCACCAACCAGGATATAATAAAACCTTAGTTATAGGAGTTGTAATACCACTTGTAACTGTTAGGGGCCATAACTGCAACATGGGAAAGAAAAACTTCCAAACTGGTTAACTCAACCATACTTAACCATCAAACATGTGTCAAATCATGGAGAGAGAATGGGGATGTTTGATAAACTTATTGTGACTTAATGGGGATTTAATGGGGATCCAGTTGATCAATAGGGATGTGATGAATTCATGGCGGGACTTCTCCAGTTGATGATGGGGATTTAACCGTGAAGAATGGGAATTCATGGAGATATCGGATATCTGTAGTAATCCTCTGACTCTGGTAAAAAAACATATGGATATAGTATAGCAATATACGAAGCTAAAGAGTTACCATCTGTTTATTTAACATAGCCATTGAACATCATCATTGTCAATAGGTAAACCATCTATAAATGGGCCATTTCCCATTGGCCCATGGCTATGTTAAATAACCAGAGTGTACCCCAATCCCAACAAGCTTATGAACCAAGCAACATGATCATTTGAGCACAAAGAACATGATTTAAGCATAACAAATAGAGATTTAGTGGAATCTATTGAGGTTTTTCTATGGACCCAATAATCTGGAATTGTTTCTTGATAAATCAATACACATTATATATTCAATAACAAGTCACTGATCTGAATCATTCCGGCATTATGTGGGGATAGTTACCGAATCCGAACCATCTTTCCAGTGACGTCGTGACGTGAGGTCGCTGTATTGTTTCCACGAAAAAAACGTAAAATTCATTAAACACTATCAATCAACCCCATCAACATTAGGTAAGAATGAAATGGAAAGAAGTAGAATGAAACTTGAAACATATAGCTCTGTCTCAAAACACCGGAAAACCAACCGGAAAATCCCAAAAAAGGTCATGGTTTTGTTCAAACAAACAGCAATTTTCATCAGACAATCTGAAGGATCGGGTATCCCGTATCCCAATGAAGCGCGTGTCGTAATACAGTCGGGGGTCCACCGCAACGATGGGCTGATTTTTTTCAGCCGAACTATTCTCTCCTTGCTGACTCAATGGAAACGAGAAGCCTAACAAAAACTTGCCACACACTCTGATATGTGATAGTGTTAATATCGTTGTGAATGATGCAATCTTTCATGATGCGTGTGAGAATACACAGACACACAACACTTTGGATATTGCCATTGCTCTTAAAGTCGCCATTCCAACATCAACACTGGACGACAACAAGGAGCTTTAACAATAACTTGATTTTCACTGCCATGATCCCCAACCATTCGGGTTTTCCATGGTTTTCCCGACACATTGGCTATTTCGCCATTTGATATGGTTCAACAGCCCATGTTTATGATTGAAAGTAAACCATCCCCAATTTTAGTGGTATATATAGACATGCATAAATAGTTGGTATAGACCATTTTACTGGCATCTATCTGGCATAAATTGATATAAATGGGTGGTATAGACCATCAACTAATATGGCATTTCATATGGGTGGTTTATAATTATTGGTTTATGACATTGTTCTACCCTCTGGTAAACTAACATAGCTATGGAAAATCACCATTTTTAATGGGAAAATCTACTATTAATGGCCATTTTCAATAGCTCCGTTAAATTACCAAAGGGTAACATCTCTTTCCCACTCAGTCGACCTACAGTTATGGCCATTTATCGTCTAAGTACTAAGAAAAACCCCATTTATAGAATGTATAATCTCTATAATCCCATTTATAACCACTTATAACTGTAGTAAATGGCCCTAACTGATTTTTTCGGTGCCTCGGAGCGCAAGCGGCACGGCACCTGCCCGGAAGGCAGGCACCGGCCAGCGCCCAAGCGACAGTCGCCTGTGGGATGATGGGGTGATGGGAAAATCCATAGGAAAAGCCATAGGAAAAGCCATAGGAAAATATGGAGGTTTAGCCTCCGGTAAACTGTTACATAACTATGGAAAGATGCACCATTTTGAAGGGGAACACTCACTATTTCGACTGGGCCATGTTCAATAGCGAACTGTTAGTTTACCAGAAGGTAATTATGGTATAAACAAATGATATTCCTGGATTTTTCGAAGAGAGAAGCCTTTGGAGCATCATCTGTCCTCACAAAAAAATATCAAACATGCCACAGAAAATCTGAACATGCCACCAACCAGTTACTATAGAGATCTATAGTCCATTCAGTTCAGTGCCTTTTGCCAATTGCAGAAACACTATTGTACAATCTGTAAATTGACATTGCTTATACTACGGCACTGGGCCTGCATGAAAGTGCAATGTCAGTCCGAGTCCACCAAAGGGTGTCAATTTCCATGGTGAATCTTAGAGAATTACATACCCATAGGATCCATGGTGATGGTATATATGCTAACATAAAGGGGGTATATTGATGGTAAATGTTACCATATATAGCATACATGGATCCTATGGGATATCAACGAATCTAATGTTGAGATATTTTTAGCTGGGTAGGACTAAATTTACCAACTGCAAACATTTTTCGTTGGCACTAGTCTCTAACCAGTTGGTTGACGATTTCAGTGCTGAACCATGCTGAGCCATACTGAGCCCATGGCCGCGAAACATGCCGCATTGGCGAGCTGCGACACAACGCTGCTGCAGTCACGACCGAAGATTCATCATTTATTTGGTGTATATAATAGTATACGTAATAATGACTGATGAGATACTAGTCAAAGTCTTATTGTTTTGCACCCTTTGGACTTTTGATTCAAAGGTTGAAATATGTTGAAATGATGCATGACGTCGCAAAACACAGATCTATCATGATCTATCAAACATACAAAGGATAAAAACTGGCTAATGCCAACCAAGCCTGGTTGTAGTTTGCGCAGTCTCTTCACAAGGAGGCGGATTGGTATCATATTCTAGTAACCCCCAAGATAGTTCAGTAAAATCCCACGAAACATAGTGATAAACTTAACCTTTTCTGCATCTTTTTGGGGCTTGCCATATCCCAAATTCAGCAGCCCCTGAGCTTGGGCGGAAAATTTCTGCGGTGCCATGTGCAATTCAAAGCCCCATTGGCACCATAAACATCCATAAACATCATAAACGAAAACAACACTGGGGATGGAGTATGTATACCAAACACTTCCACTAAAGTTCGTTGTAGTTTATTTTGGGGTTTATCAAATTCCACAATTTGGAAGATGCCATGAGCCAACATCGCAAAGGATTCCTCAAGCAGATCAGCATCGGAATGTTGTGCTTCAATGTCCGGAAAATCGAGAAACAAAGACACTACAAGAAAACAAGTCAGGTTGCAGATTTACGTCCCTTTGGGCAATCAAACATGGCAATGGGAAATGCCTGAACTAAACAAAGGTTTTATTGGGAAAATCATCTGTAGTTAAATGAAGATATTTTTCCATTGCCACCTTTGCTTTCCGGAGGGTAGGCCTTTAATATTTTTAATCATTGTACTGCTTGCATCTGCACTGCATCTCGATATCAATTTCACATTGCCATGCGAATGACATCAATTCAGTCAATCAGTGGCTCTTAAAGTCGGGAATATATGCAATCACCCAAACATATCCTCAATTGAATCGAAATTCCACCAACAACCATACTCTTTTTGGGGGTAGCCTATTCTCAAATAAACCCATGGCCCTTGATTCCAAATGTTGAGATACTCCCCACACCATCTTAGCAGCGCAGCTCGGGACTTTTGGTCTTCGCATGACGATGGGATCAGCTCAGTTGGTACCTTAGAGGTGACAGGTTGTTGCTCCGGAAAAGTCATGGAAGATTGTGACTGCATGGTTTCTTTGATGTACATTCAACAGTAACGAATGAATAGGTTTCTAGAGATAAACATATTGCATATATATTGCTGTACACTATCAACAAAAAACATGTTTTCAATTAAACAACTTCGATCTACCTCTACGTCCTTCAGCTGGATTTGGAGCACAAAACTGGCAAGAAGCAACCAACAAACATATCCAGAATGAACATGCTACGTACACCATTGCCCCCCAAAAGATAGAACAGTAAAATCCCATTCAAAATGGTGATGAATCACTTTTTCCATTTTTTTCCTTTTTTGGGGATCACATGGGATCACATGGGATGACTATAGACTGTAATAGATATATCCATTGAACGGTCTCCGAGAATCGCCGCTCGTAGCCAGCTCCTGAGCTGAAACTCAGCCCTGCCTCCTGGATTGCGGCTTAGGACGAAGAAGTGAAGTTGGTGTGTCTGAAAATGCTGCATATCATCCCCAAAATGGCTGAGGCTGGGACCATGATGATTGACCATGGAATGTTATGGAATTTGGGGGTGCCCCATTTTGACCATGGAATGTTACCTTGAAATCAACAGTTGCGGTTATAAGAGTTACATGGGATTCTGACAGAATACTGATTAAGTTCTTAACCTATAGTGATGCGCCCAACCACTGCATATGTGCCATGGGTCAAGTTATGTACATCGGATGAATATGGGGTATGGCATCATGAGTATATTAGCCCTTATTAGTGGTTGGATGACGATCCCCTTTTATGGGAAAATAACCCATGTATATAGCTTGACCATGGCACATATGGGGACTTCAACAACACCAATGTATTTGACCAACAAAATGGTTTGGAAGCGACAAGGGAATTGAACCAAACAATAAGAACTATCCAGCAAGCAAAGATTGCGTTGTCACCAATACAGAAGCGGGGCTGTTCGAAGCAAACACGGGCACATGGGTCGAAATTAGCTTCCGTAAAATTGGATGGCTAGATGCCAACAACATGACAAATTCACATTTTGACACTCAGAACCAGCAATCTTTTTTCTAGCCACTCATCATGAGTTTGGCCCCTGGTTGGTGATTTCAACCGGAAAGTTCAGTGGAATTTTGGCCTACATCCTGATGGGGACGGAAAGTACCAACCAAGAAATGATAAAAGAAATGACCCCAGCAACGTGCATTTCCATCAACGCAGCTTCTACAGGCCTTTACATTTTGTTACATGCTTTACTTTTCTGAGACGTGGAAGAGAATGTGCTAGCCAGTTCCAGGAGTATATATCTTTCATTTCGCACTTGTTTCCTTGCCATAACAAATTATAACATATCCATATGTGCGGCTGCCTAAACTCCTTGTGTGGGGAAAGGACATCAACATAATCTCTAAAATCCCATCGCCAACCACAGTTTTGTAGCAATTTGCACATCATCGCATTATAGTAGTTTAAAGGGGGGTATCGCTATAGTACTAAGCCTAGTTCATTAAAGTAATTATGTCTCACATTCATCAAGATGGTGGCAGCTCAGTGTTTTCACCTCTCTGAGCTGGATGAATCTGAAGAAGAACTGCTGGAGGAGCTGCTTTGCAGATCCCTCCATTTTGCCTCCAGCAAACTTCTTTGCTTCTGAGATCGAATCCTCGCTCGATCTAAGCGTTTCTTCGTTCGACGAACTTCTTCACCAATGTCAGGTAAGAGCCTGCGGCGCCGCAAAGTGGCATCAGGCAACAGCTCCTTCTGGCACAAGTACTTCCTTGAGAGGCTGCTTTCCTGTTTTGGCCCAAGGGGTTGAGGATGTTTAGACCATGCCTTTTGCCGGCACCAAAGAACCCCCTGCGCCACTCTGTTGGCAGCTCACCCTTCAAACAGGTGCATTATATTCCACCTTCTCTGTAGTTGGCTGTGTTGAGAAAACATGGTTCCAGACCCGTGGTTCCGGACGGAGTCTGCTTGGCGCAGAGGATAAGCAATAGGTTCGACTAATTTTGAAATCGGCCTTGGGTTGCAAAATGACAGCCTCTGTCGGCACGGGAGATTCATCTAAAATGCAAACAACATTGGCACTGTGAATCTGAGCAAAACCTATTGTACAAATATATATATATATATATCATATTATATTATATGATATCATATTAATATTAGTTATATTATATTAATTATATTATACTATATGAGGATTATATATATACACTATACAGTACATGTATACACACGCACAACTATCCTGGTTGGTTTCATACCTCGATGTTTTAATCATTTTCTATCAACATTCATAATCATTCATAGCCAGTAAATCAGCACATGATTTACCATTTGAACATCGCATTATATCCCCATGATTTCCATGTAAAATGTAAAAATCATCAAACATCTCCATTTTTTTTCATCTCACTTTTTTCTTCCAAAACCGACCTAAAACCGTCCAAAACACGACGACCCCGGTGTTTTTTCAAACAGCCTCTGCACCAAACTGAATGCCAAGACCAGGCCCAGCAGCGCTGCTGTGACATACCTTGCCGGCGGCTTGCGAGCCAATCCTCGTGGTAAACCATCGATTTCATGGTGATATCATGGGATTTTACATGGAAAAAACCCGACTTGGATGGTGATATAATCAATGGGAATTCCAGGATCCTAAAATGGAGGTACTGTACCATATAAGGCCATATTTTGTGGGGAATATTCCCTTACATAAGCCTTACATAGGCCTTATATATGGTAGGTACCTCCAATTTAGGATCCTGGAATTCCCATTGATATAATGGGATTTGTTCCATGTGATATCATGGGATTTACATTTTACAGTACATTTTACGGTACTTGGGGGTTGCAGTTGAAGTTGTAAATGGGTATTTCTGCGTGGTGAAATCAGCCCCATAGGTTGGGATCTTTATTGTTGGGATGAACCTGATTTTATTATAATATGTTCCTTTTATGATTGCTAAACCAACAATACTGGGGATACATTTTTAACAAACATAATATGTATGTACATATATATATATATATTATATGTACATACAATGGGGAATTAAAGAGGTAAACCCAATGACAAACTGTCCCTTTTTCATGGTATCTACCACCTACCCTGCCATGAGTTGGGGGCTGGAAGACTGTCCAAAACTTGGCAAGCTGCTCAGTGTCGATTAGAAAGCTTGGTTCAATGGCCATTCCAGGAACCTAAATTGGAGGTACCTACCATATATAAAGCCTATGTAAGGCTTATGTAAGGGAATATCCCCAGCAAAATATGGCCTTATATGGTACAGTACCTCCATTTTAGGATCCTGAATTTCCCATTGAATGAAAGCTTGGTGGATGACAATGGGGGTATAACAAACTAATATGGGATTGAACCATGAAACTCATCAAACTGAGTTGAACCGTACCCTCTGGTAAACTAACATAACTATGGAAATCACCATTTTCAATGGGAAACTCCACTATAAATGGTCATGTTCAATAGCTATGTTAAATTATCAGAGGGATGTTATGGATGAACCATGGATGCACCGATTGGTTCAGGGGAACAAAACTGGTTGGCAGCAAAAAAACGGTCTTGTCCTGCCAAATGCGGGGTATTCCTGAAGAAACAAACTTTCAACCACTTCTGGGCATTAGAGATAGTGACCATCGGAGTCACAACAATGCGATTTCTATATGGATCTGCGCAGTATACTACAGTATCATCATCCCATTATCATATTATATAGATTTTATATATTATATTTCATTATAATCAGTATCAATATAGATTGTCTTCATCATCATCATCATCATCATCATCCCATTATCCCATCGGCTCTTTTCCAATGGGACATAAAATAAGACGCATTCAAATGACAAGCCACTTATGCACTGGACTGTCTGGGTTGTGCCAGTTATTCTCAAAACAAACTGGGTGAATTGCGCTGGCGCAACGCTGGAGATGTGACATGCATGCAGTCATGTAGGATATGTGTCCATTCTTTAGTATGACAGAGCATCCATTCATCACCATCTATCAGCCATTCACCAACAACATATCCCTGGCTCATCTCAAATATGTTGCAAACCAATTCTTGTGCATGTGCATTTTTTTCATGTTCCAACAAATAGCAAATTAGAAACCCTAAGTTTGCGGTATTCAATGGTAACTTCTTTGGTTTGTTCATCCCACACCAAATAATTGGTGCCTTTGGCTTCTAAGTTGCCTGAATCATCATGCAATTCGTAGAAACGGAGACATGATTGAGTACATTCAATTATATTATCTCGTTTAAAACCTACAGAAAGGGCCCCCTAGTTATGTTTCTTTCTTGTTTACGTTATCCAATCTGAATAGCTCAATATATCCAGCATAAATCCGATCGTGAACCTATTCAAAAACCAAAAGAAACCTATCGTTTGGCCCCTTCCTGCATTATATCATATTATACTCTCTCATTCATAACTACCAATATATATATATATATATACGTAATATATATATATGTATATGTATGACTTTGATTATGTATCTTATGAGCTCCCGCCAAAATCCCTTACATCTCAGTAATTACTATGTTCGGTTATCGTTTTTTTTGGCGGTCCATATCGCTTTCCAGGGTTTTGTGCCATTATCGCTTTTGAAGGGGGCCCTATCGCTTTACCGTGTTTCATGCACATCTCTCACAAAAGTGCTTCTGCCATACTACAGTGTTCTTCAACCATTTTGACCGTAACTCATATGATAACTATCTCCATCTAGCAATGAACTAGCATATTTGATGGTTCCTATACGGGTATGGGTCAGAATTGGGGTCTGAAACAACGGCCATTTGAGAATGAATCCCCTTGTTAACCATCATTCCAGTGAAATCCCCAGTGAGGTCGTTATAATTTATCCTTATGGTTGACTCTAAAGAATTACGATATTTTGTGTTGTCCCTTGGACTTAAATTTTGATCAATATCCATCTTCATACCCTTATTTGATGGTTCCTACCTACCCAACATCAACAATAATGTAAGAACCAGTTCTGGATCTATATATATATATAGATAGAGAGATACATCAGTTGAGACCATTCGTTGCAACTGTAATTAAGTAAATATACACAGCGTATCAATAATCATCAAGACCGTCCATACCCTGTGGTAAACTAACATAACTATTTGAATGGCCCGTTTATAACCGTGTATACTTGATTTATACCTATTTACCACATTCTAAGTAGCGATTTTCCCTAGTCATGTTACTATAAGGTATCCATGTCACAAAAAAAATTGGGCTCCCGTGCCAGGTCGTTGAGGGAGTCGTGGTTTGCGTGGTTTGCGTGCACCTGGAAAGCAGGACTTGTATGTGGTTTTATATGGAGCACATATGGAAAACTTGGTGGTGAAGTTACCACCAATACCCATGACGGATCCATGTATGCTATATATGGTAACATTTACCATCAATATACCCCCTTTATGTTAGCATATATACCAGCACCATGGATCCTATGGGTAATGGAAAATGCACCGATACACTTACACCGATAGACCGGGAAACAAAACATACCGAGTCGGTGATTCCTCATATTTCATCATAACCCTCTACACTGGCGGCGTTAGAGCCAGCAACTCAGATCGGGGATTTCCGGGGAGTGTCCCGAAGGGTCGGTTTCTTCACATATCTCCACATATTTCCAGGGAAAATCCATGGCTTTTCATCTGTTTTTATATGGAAATGTCATGGACATGTCATATCGTCATGCCATTTCTGGTTGGTGGTTTTTCGCCACCCCTCTGAAAAATGATGGAGTTCGTCAGTTGGGATAAATATTCCATTCCGAACTGTTTCTGGAAAGTCATAATCCATTCATTCCATGGTTCCAAACTAACCACCAACCAGATATTCTCATGCCATTTCCATGGCATTTCCATGCCATTTCTATGGGACACTCCACCCATGGAGAAAGTTTCCTCCACTTGGCTTGGCCACGGCTTGGCTCTTCGTTTCCTGGGCCTCCCAACTTATGTGCCGAGGGGTTCACCTCCGTGCTAGTGGCACGGCTTTCCAACTCCACCGCCATCTGCAGCGACTCGGGATCCGCCATGAGATGAAACCAGATCTATAAGTTGGTTTATAAACCCCATTAACTATAGTTATAACTACCATAAACCATAGTTATTGGAGTTATAAACCAACTTAGCTATCTAGGGGGCCCCACTTTGTAGGAGGATGTGAATGGCATTACCCATGACGGATCCGGCTGGTGCTTGGTATATGGCTGCTAACATGACTGGGGGTGTTTGTTGATGGGATCCATGGCACACCAGATATAGCAGCATACATGGATCCGTCATGGGTAATTATGATTCATTCATATTGATGGATATTCACAATTATAAGATTTGCTAATCCTTTTTGTGAATCATCAACCATTGATTACCAATTGCTAATTATGATTGTTAATTGTTGGCAATGGTTAATGACTATTCTGGTTGATGACTATTCTGGTTGACAAGTGGTAATGGTTGACAATGTGTAGTTGATAATATGTAATTACGTTGATACTCACTATTTTTTTTGTCAAACTCCCATGGACAATTCTAGTATGATTGGATGGAGCTCTTGTTGATGGAAATTATCATTGGAAAGAAACATATGCTTCTTTTTTCATGATGGCTGATTCGTTCAGCATGTTACAAAACAATCACAGAATCTATCATTCTGGTATATGTTTTCTTTTGATGTGAAATCAATTATCATGCAAAAAAGTGTGTCTTCCTATTATGATAATGATAAGTTTATATTATTGATAATGAAGACAGTTGGAAAATATATCAGTATTTTATGACAATATGTTTATCATAATGATATCAGTATTTCATGATAATTTGATAACAATAATCCTATACTATATAGATAATATGTATATATCAAACCAGTATTTAACTGAATAATCCTATACTGGTTATCCTATATATCATTTATGATAATATCAAGATGATAATGACTGATACTGATTTCATGATCCCATTGTTGTGATCGCCCGTGGCTTTCGGAACCAAACCGCCTGCGTCTGGATGGAAGCGCTGGCAGACGTCACTTGCGCTTGAGTCCCAGCGGACGTCACCACCTGAGAGCGGCTTCGTGGGGGGAAATCTTCACAACTCTTCACCAGAAACCAAGCGGTTTTATATGGTTTTACCCAAGGTTTCTATGGCAAAAGTTGGGAAAATTGATAGGAACACCAACGAATGTTATATATATTATGGTATATATATACATATATATATAATTCCCAGTTATATATATATATTATTCAATGTTATATATATATATGTATATAATCGAATAATGGATTCAATGGATCAATGGATTGGTTTAGTTAAGGAAAAAAACTTCACTGGAAACCATGGTGTTACCCTTACAACATACAAGTTTCCTATGGTTTCCTTCAATTGTGTTCTTTATCATCCAGCCAGTTTCCAAACGGCAAGTATTAAGTCCTGGTTTTCTTCAATTTTTGCATGTCTTGCTCAGCAAATCATGTCATTATGCACCAAACCCATGGATTGCACATGATCACACCAAAATAGTGTGGAAGTACACTTGCCGTCCACCAAAAAAATGAAAATAGGCGATCCGCCCGAAATTCGCTTCACCATAGTCTACCTATCGCACATTATCACACTGTTTTTTGTTGGTGGTATACCCCATGTTGAGACAAAGCCATGTTGAACACACCTCCCGACACAGTCCGCTCTGTTTTAGCGCCTCCAAAGAGAAAGACAGGTGAGGCCGGTGAGGCCCCGGTTTTTTGGATAGCTAAGTTGACGCACTTTTTTCTTGGTCAACCCTTGGGAATCTTATAGTCATGGGGTTCGAAAGCAACGTATCACTAAAGGTTATTGCCCCAACTTATTAACGTTCATAATTTATAATTTTACATAGCGAAGTTATGGCCCATATAGTTACTATAGTTCGATGATTTACCGATGAAAAACATGGTGATTTTCCAGTTCGCACACTGTCAAATCACTGGCGGGGATATCCCAACACATGAATATACCCAAACTGGAAATCACACAGACCAACAAACCATAGCCAGTCTGAACACCCTATTATTGACGGTGCTACCGGATATAACGGTTCTGGGTCAACATATGTGTTCTGCAATACGCCATAACTACTGGATACACAATGATCAACCATGGGATTTGGAGGTTCAAGATTCAAGAGGGACGTCATAGAGCTAAATGGGTCATGGTTTCCAAATGCTGTGCTAGATCACCAGAGGGTTCGCCGGGACACGGGTTGGACGCTGCACTGCGTTCCAAAGTCTGTGGTGCTGCAGGAACCTGCAAGTTGGTCAGCCCCAAAGTGGGGCCCCAAACGTGACGTGACATGAATGTTGGTTTATAAACTCCACGAAGACTATAGTTGTAAGATGTTATATCGGTAAGTTATAATGAAGTATCATAAGCCATAGTTGGAGCTATGTTCACCATTGTTCACCAACTTAGCTATTGTAAACGGGAGCCCCACTTTGTAGGGGAGTGATAAGAAGGGCCCCACTGAAACCAAGCATTATAGGGATAGGGATAACATGGGTATAGGTTTTCGGGAAAACTACCCTCTGGTAATTTAACATAGCTATTGAAAATAGCCATTTATAGTGGATTTACCCATTGAAAATGTCTGATTTTCCATAGTTATGTTGGTTTACCAGAGGGTAATTGACTTGACCTTTCCGCTTGCAAACCAACTTTCCTCAGGGTCTTAGTCGTCTTAGTTCAGGGATGGCAAGACCCATGATGTTTCCACTGCTGGGAAACAACCATTTTAAGTTTGGTTCCTGCACCATCATTATATTCCATATTATTTCATATTATATCAAGTATATCAAGTATATTCAAGTATATCCCATAATTAGATAAATTAGATGTGAACATACAGATCCCTGGCTAGTGGATCGTCGAAGCGGCGACCGGCCCGGCTGGCCTTTGGGACAAATTCCTGAGACCTAAATGCAATGCAATACAATTTTTCAGCCCCCCATTTTGTGGTTATTTACCCTCTGGTTATTTAACATAGCCATGGTATAGATGGCCCATAGAAAAAGATGGTTTACCTATTAAAAATGGTGGATCTTTCCATGGCGAACTGTTAGTCATAACCAGATGGTAATCATTTTGATGATAGATCTGAATCTGGTGTACCCTATCAATCTTTAGATAAACATTTTTGCTTGCCTTGAATACTGCTGGAAACATGGTCGAATCCTCCGGCCAACTACAAGTACATTTCAGTAAAACGTACGTTTCTTACATTTCTTACCGCAAAAAATCCGTCAAATGCATCTATCCCATAGGATCCATGGTGCTGGTATATATGCTAACATTGGGGGTATATTGATGGGATCCATGTTACCATATATAGCATACATGGATCCGTCATGGGTATATAATTATCTAGAGCTTTCGAATCTATTTTTCACCAGGCATGGTTTGCTTTCAATGGATCCAAAGTGTATCAAAGTGTATTCATCCTTGGATCCTCAGCCCAGCAGGCAACATATATTACCAACATGTGAAATCATGAAACTGCTGTCCAAAAGGAACAATGAAACTTAAATAAATATAAATACGATTAAATAAGTATCAACCAATTACCCTCCAATAAACAATCGACATTGTGTTCCAGGTTTTTTCATATGTAAATCCACAATTTGTAGTTTTTTTTGGACAATACACGGGTTTTCCACATGTTTTTTGTAGATCATCATTTCAACATAGTTTTAAGCACGTCTCATCAAATTTTGGGGTAAAACACCAAGTCTATTTCTGGCAAAATGGGCTCAAAAATTCAGGTTCCAATCCCTACAGGCCCCATGGTCACGCGCCTCCAGAATCTCCCATCATGGCGCCTGATTGTGCCCCAATGTGGGTCATTGGGTTTGTAAACCCAGGAAAATTCACAGGACACCACTGGTTCAAGATGGTTTAAACATATTTTCTAGGATCCAAGTCAAGTATGTATTTTTTTTGCAGGCATTTGGTTTTGATCCAAATTTTGTTTTTATCTCACGATTTCCCTCGAACAAAGTCTGGGATGTTGGCATCATGAGATGGGTATTCTATGATGTAACCTATCCATTCATATACCAGGCACCAGGTAGTGCCCGGCCCACATCGGGGCGGAAGTTTCGAAAATAGGACATGGCTATAGGAAATCATTGGCCTATAGGAAAGTTTTTGCAATGCATAAGCAATGAAGTGTTGAAGTCGTGAGGTGCATCAAGGAATGAGCAAATGGTTGTTGAGATGCCAATGAAATGACATGAAAGAATCCGCGCACAACTAAGTGAATGAACCAAAGAACCAAAGAATTAATGAACCAAGAAATCAATGAATCAGTGAGTCATTGAATCAATGGACCAATGAAGCGACGAAGCAATGACTCAGAAAAATAAACAACCAGTGAACCTAGAACCTACGAATCGTTGAATCAATGAACCAATGAATCAGTGAATCGAATCAATGAATCAATGAATCGACGAACCAGCGAATGAATGCATGCATACATGCATGAATTAATGAATGAATCACTGAATCGTTGGTTCAGCGAACCAATGATTTAATGAACCGATGATTCAGTAAAACAATGAACCAATAAAACAATGCTTGAATCATTTATTGCGCCGATGAATCAATGGATCAGTGAACCAATGAATGAACGAACGAACGAACGAACGAACGAAGTAGAGAGGAGAGACATCAATGAATCAGCAATTTTTCAGTGAATCAATGGAGCAATGACCCGACAAATCAATGAAACGATTCAGTGAATCAATGACTCAGTGAATCGGTGATTCAGTGAATCAATGACCCAACACACGAACGAACTTGTGAGTCAATGAATCAACGAATGAGTGAGTCGATGAATCAATGAACCAGCGAATCATTGAACCAATGAATCACTGATTCAGTGAATCAATGAATCAGTGAATCAGTGCTTTTTCAAATTTACCAAGCATGGATTGGGTGAACTATAGAAACATATTTCAGACTCCGTTTTATAACGCCGTTTTTCACCCATTCCATTGCTATGCGGTCTGGATGGCGCCTTGGCGCCTGGATCTGAACCCTTTGGCTCAGTCGGCTTCCAAAGGGGAGACGAAATGTGGATGCGATGAGCACAACTTTCGATCTCAAGCTGTACATAGTGTATATAATACTGTATATATAGTAATGGTGTTAACATATATATAGTATTATATACATTACCATTCTCTATATATACATTACTATTGGACATAGTGACATAGTGTATATAACACTGTATATATGTTAACTATTGTTAACTATTGTTAACTTGTTTTGAAGGATTTCCTTCTGTAATTTCTCCATTTATTGCTGGAACAGTTTTGAACAATAACAGTATGTGGCTCATAAATTCAGCTCAGTGGTGAATTACTTGGCAAATCCTGGTGGAATATGCATTCGCTGAGAATGGCTGTGCATATATCTGTGCATCAAAAAAGTCGCTCCATGGTCATTTCCCTGAGACATCTTATCTGAACTTCGAATGCTCCATGCATCCTGTTATGTCCTGTTGCAGTTGTTTCACTGTTTCATAGTTCTGTGGGTGGCAAGTTCAGTGTTCGATAAGTCAACTTCTTAAGCTTTGCCGTGGGCAACCCTGGTCTGCAATTTGTTTGCTTCCAGAGCCAATTTCAAATTCATATTTGTGTGTGTGCCTGAAAGACTTCACATCTTCATGGTCTTCATGGCTTTGATTGCCTCCAGTCCCAGTGCCAATGTAGAATCTCTTGAACGAGCCAGTTGTTGACTTGCATCGGAGACAGCAAATATGGAGGGTTGTGGCACAAAGTCATCGTTTTAATCTCCTTAAAAAGTGAACATTCTATCCTCACCAGTGGATACTACTGTCGGTATACTTGTAATCTACCTCAATTTGGGTGACTTTGAGGTAGATGTAGATACATAGACCATGTACTGAGTGTTCAGGGTTGATTTGTGTGAGTTTCACCAATGAAGAAGAGAGTCCAATATGCAGTTATGAAGGCTTGGATCGTTTGAATCTCAGAGCAAAAAAAAACTTCAAACACTTTCCTGCGCAGATCTTGAGGTGATCTGTTGGCCAACCGGGTTCGTCTGAAAATAGACCCCGGTTATTTAATGGTGGATGGTCACGATCCCCACTAAAAGGGTCAGTTTGGGGGGTCAATTCCCCTTTTTGAGACAGACCCAACATCATCCACCTGGTGAAATTCGCACCCCCCACAGGCGCAATAAAAAAAAGCGCGCCATGGTTTTTCGACTTCTTTCAGAGAGCAAAGATGGCATACTCTGTCCAATCCTCAGATGATCGTTCTGGTTCCCAAAGTTTTCGAGGGGAGCATTCCCTTTGCTGGATTTGGGTTAGATGATGTTAGATGAATGCAAAACTGGAGTATACGCACAAAGGGGGGGAACTTCAGCGGAAAATGACGATCAACGGAATTTGTGTTCTCAACATTTTCAGACTAATCCAGATCTCAATCTTACCGGTCAGTAAACTTCTCTAAACTACGATCTCGTTCACTTGTCAATATTTTTTTCGAAAGGTGAGATATAAAATAGTGATCCAAATATTCAAACAAAGGAACAAGCGCTGGCTCAGGCCCAAATGCGTCCATTGCTGCGGCCAATCAAAACATGTATGAAACATTGGATCGAGAAAACCGCAGTCACGATCTGATTTTTGTTGTTCAACAATTTGTATCAACAGAAATTCTTGGAAAAGCATAGAACCCTCTGAAGTTGATCCTGCGGACTACCATCAGCAGTAGAGAAAGGATACTCCTGTCTAAAAAAAACACCCATCTGATACTTTCACCCCAAATCTCAAGTGGAATCTCCACCCAATTTTAGCATTGTCAGACAATCCATATGGCATATGTCGCCATCCCTAAAGCTTCGAGGCCAAACATGGGACACCGACCCAAAGATGATGATCCTAAGAGGAAAGACTGGCACCACATGGCCAGGGCTTCTCATCATCTGACATACGGTTAGTTGAATGGAAAGCATCTCTATACAACCAAACAAGCAGGAAAAGGACGTCGATCAGTTTACTACTAGCATCTCGTAACAGTAAAATCACAGGGAATACAGTAAAATCACACAATTGTCATATCAAAAATTGATTGATACTGGAAGCTCCAGAGACCAATTTCATCATCTGCCAACCCTTCCGAAGGTACCCCAAAAAAAGAAGGAACTGACTTAAGACCCCTATTTACGTGGATCGATATAAAATGACAAAACAATAATAGATATTACATGGCTTACGACTCACAAAAATCGAAAGACCACGTCAACCCCCAAAAAAATACTGCATTTTAAAGCAACACAGCTATAATATAACATATTAAAACTATGATAAACTATGACTGGTTGGTGGTTTCAACCCTCTTAAAAATATTAGTCAGATTGGATCATCATCCCAACTATTGGGGAAAATAAAAACGTTCCAAGCCACCAACCAGATGATTATCAACCATTATCAACCATTATCAACCATTATTAACCATTATTTAACCATTATTAACCATTATTAAGCATCATTAACCATCATTATATAATCATCATTAACCAAATAGTTGGGATACTATGGTTATTGGATCATCATCCCAACCAGATGATATAACATAGCTATACAAAGTTTGGGAGTTGCCATCTTTTCTCATAGAATTCCAGGATCCTCCTGGTTGATGGTGAGCAATGGACAAAGCTTCCTGGTGCGACGCGTTTGTTCCGCCGATGGCCGTGATATGTCGTGATGGTGGTGGGGAATGCCATCAAATTGCCATGAAAAAACAGGGAAATGCCATGTAAAATGGCGATGAAACATAGAGAAAATGATGGAAGAATGCGGTTCTAGACTCCTAGACCATCGAAGTAGATGTGAAACGGGGAATATTTGGAACTGCATCCCAATTTCTGACACTCATGAAATGAGGAAAATAATTCTTCCCACCAAGTAACTCAAAAGTATTAAATCAATGGCCATTTCAGGAACCAATTTCTTGCAGGTACCTAGCTATGTGCGGGAAGATCCACTAAGATAGGACCTTATTTTAGGGTCCTGAAAATCCGACTGATAAAAAGGGGGTACCCGAAATCTTCCAAGTCATTCGACCATTCTAGTATTGAAACCTATGGCGTCTTGGGGATCCTCCAGTTTGTGAACCCCCCGTGTGTTTTTTTCCTATGCAAATGATCTGACTTGGGACTTGATTTCCTGCACATTCTATTTGGGAAAATAAAATACAATCATTCATATTATATATATATAATTACGCATTTCTATATAACTTATGTAACACGATGTATATGTACAAGACTATGCATAAATTATATGTAAACATGATAATTCGATTTTATTCTTCTACCCATAGAGACTATCTATACTATCTTCCTCATGCCACGCAATCCACCTCAAGTTGAAGGGAGGCAACGTATAGTCGTACCTGCAGGACCGGTATGTCAGGGTGTTGAACTCCGCAAGGAGAGCAAAACGGGGAAACTTCGGAAGACATCTCCTCAATCCCAAGGAAAGTATGTACTGATTTCTTGTCGGTGCACCTTTCTTAGCTCATGTGTTTTTCACGCATGCATAACTGGATGTAACTCAGCTTTATCCCTCTGTTAAGTGTTTTTTTCAGCATGATCATTCACCATTTGGATGTGCAGCCAAGAGCAGTCAAGAAGACTCTCAAATTACTCACAACAAAACTGGCAAGAACTAAGAACATCCTTGGACAGGTCTTTTGTAAATTACTCGTTTACTATGTTTACTATAAAGTTTGATCTTGATCTATTCGTGTTTTATTCAACCAGGGTAAACCATGGTAAATCCAGTTGTCATTCATGGCTTACCCTCTGGTAATTTAACAGTTCGCTATGGAAAATCCACCCATTTTTCATGGGAAAATCCACTATTTCTATGGAAAATCACCATTTTTAATGGGAAAATCCACTATAAATGGCCATTTTCAATGGCCATTTTCAATAGCAAACTGTCAGCCATAACCAGAGGGTAACTTACCATGCGACTTCCAAGGGCACGGTGCATAGTGGGCATGATGACCTTTGGTCGCTCCCTGCTTATTCGGTGCACCACGGTGGATGTTCGTCACCAGAAACCTGGACCGTTCGTTCTGACCATGGCAAAGCTACGGGTTTTTTTTGGGTCCTAAAACTGGAATAGAATGGGAATAGTGGGATCTATGGCAAACTTCATGTATATAAACTATGTATGTATGTATGTATATATATATATATACTAAATATAATATATATATATATATATACACTATATATATATGTATATATACTAAATATATACATGTATAAACATGTATATTATACATGTATATATATATATATGGATTATTGTCATCCCACCACCATAAGCGATTCCTTGCAACGTTTGACCATGGCACGGTAGGAACTAAGCCATCAAACGATGCGGGAGCTTGTCGCTGAAGCAAGCAACATGAGGAGTAAACCGTCACATACCCTCGGGTAGTGACTAACAGTTTGCTATTGAAAATGGCCATAGAAATAGTGAGTTTTCCCATTAAACATGGTGAGTTTCCATAGTTATGTAACAGTTTACCAGAGGGATCCAGAGGGAATATCCATATGAATCCATATGAATGGGCCATGTTCATCCATTTTCCATTGACACCATGATGATGAGCTGGACGACTCCGAGTTGCCCAAGTGGCACCCCTTGCAAATACACTTGAAGACTTGGGGGCATGAACTCTTTAAATTCTGGTTGGTGGTTTCAACCCATCTGAAAAATATTAAAAATAAGTCGGGATTATTTTAAGTGATAAAATGCCATGGTTCCTTAAACCACCAACCAAAATTATATGGGATTGTCACTTGGAAACTCCGTAAAGATCCATGGGTTTTCCCATGTTTTCCCATGGTTCTGGCCCTGCCAGGTGAGCTAGAATGTCAGAATAGACAATAGATGCCAAGCATAATGTCAAAATCTGGTTGGTGGTTTTAACCATCTTGAAAAATATTAGTTGGGATGATTATTCCCAATATATGGGAAAATAATTACTTTACTTCGTGTGATCCCCACCATGACATGTCAGGACATGTCAGGACGTATATTTGGACAAATCTTGAATATATTCTGACATTCTATCTGACATATATTCTGGCATTCTATCTGGCAATCTATCTGACATATATTCTGACATTCCACCTGGCATTCTATCTGGCATTCTATCTGGCATTCTATCGGGTATTCTATCTGGCATTCTATCTAGCATTCTATCTGACATTCTATCTGGCATTCTATCTGACATATGTTCTGACATTCTATCTGGCATTCTATCTGGCATTCTATCTGGCATTCTATTTGTCATTCTATCTGGCATTCTATTTGTCATTCTATCTGGCATTCTATCTGGCATTCTTTCTGGCATTCTATCTGGCATTCTTTCTGACATATATTCTGACATTCTATCTGGCATTCTATCTGGCATTCTATCTGGCATTCTTTCTGGCATTCTATCTGGCATTCTTTCTGACATATATTCTGACATTCTATCTGGCATTCTATCTGGCATTCTATCTGGCATTCTTTCTGGACATTCTATCTGGCATTCTATCTGGCATATCTATCTGGCATTCTATCTGGCATTCTATCTGGCATTCTATCTGGCATTCTATCTGGTATTCTATCTGGCTATCTGGCATCTGGCATTCTATCTGGCATTCTATCTGGCATTCTATCTGGCATTCTATTCTATCTGGCATTCTATTTGTCATTCTATCTGGCATTCTATCTATCTGGCATTCTATCTGGCATTCTTTCTGGCATTCTATCTGGCATTCTATCTGGCATTCTTTCTGGCATTCTATCTGGCATCTCATATATTCTGATCTGGCATTCTATCTGGCATTCTATCTGGCATTCTATCTGGCATTCTTTCTGGCATTCTATCTGGCATTCTATCTGGCATTCTATCTGGCATATCTATCTGGCATTCTATCTGGCATTTCTATCTGGCATTTCTATTCTGGCATTCATTCTATCTGGCATTCTATCTGGCATTTTATCTGGCATTCTTTCTGGCATTCTATCTGGCATTCTTTCTGACATTCTTTCTGACATTCTATGGTCGTGGTTGAGGTCCGGCAGGGAACACTGGGCGTGGATGGTCGTGGTTGAGGTCCGGCAGGGAACACTGGGCGTGGATGGTCGTGGTTGAGGTCCGGCAGGGACCACTGGGCGTGGATGGTCGTGGTTGAGGTCCGGCAGGGAACACTGGGCGTGGATGGTCGTGGTTGAGGTCCGGCAGGGAACACTGGGCGTGGATGGTCGTGGTTGAGGTCCGGCAGAGAACACTGTGGATGGCGGGTCGCAGTTGAGCAAGGACGACGAGGACGACGAGGACGACGAGGACGACGAGGAGGACGAGGAGGAGGAGGAGAGGAGGACGAGGCAGGAGGAGGCGGAGGACGAGGAGGAGAAGGAGGAGGAGGAGAAGGAGGAGGAGGACGAGGAGGCAACTGACATAAAATCTAACAACCCTCACCTGGCAGGTGGGGAAAAAATGTTCAAAACCACAAACCAGAAATATACGTCAAATAGAATGCCAGACAGAACGTAAGAACATATGTCAGATAGAATGCCAGATAGAATGTCAGATTGCCAAATGGAATTTGTAGAATTTATGCCAGTAAACATGCCAGATGGAATATCAGAATATATGTCAGATAAAATGTTAGTTGGTATGACTCGAAGAAAGTAACTTGTGTCCATCAAATTTGCCATGAACATGGCGGTCATCGGGTTATCTTTTTAGGACATATCCTGCGGAATATCCCTATGATGTTCCCATGACATTCCACTTTGTTTAACCCACATGATGCAGCTTCCAGTCAAATCCAAGTCAAAGTTCTAGTGGTATATATAAATAGGGGTCAATTACATTGACATTATCCACCCCAAACAACTAAATCATACAAAATCCAAGGAAACGGCTTAGAACTGCCATGAAACTTAAGAAAGCTTTGCTGCATCTTTTTGTGGAGTTCCCAACAGCACCGAAAACGGCCTGTTCCCCGATGCTCGGAAGGCAGAAAGTGCTTGCACCGCGTCCTCTAGGAACATGTGGTTCAAAGTCTCCTCGAGAAAAAAACGGGGTACAAATAGAGGATTTAACCATCGGTAGGGATATATATATATATATGTAGTATTGGAATTAGCGGTTCAACAAAGGATTTAACATGATTTAACCCGCGCCATTGGCAATTGGTTCAATAGAGGATTTAACCGTAGTATATCATATAATGGGGATACAATAGGAATATAATAATACACACTAGAGATCACTAGAGAATCACATATAATGATGAGCAATAATAACACAAATACAAATTGGTATTTGCAGAAGATGGAAAATACAAGTGGGGATATATTTCGGCACGGAAAATAATTTGATATGCAGAAATCATGGGATCTTCGATGATCTTCGGGTATGGGATCATAGGAAATGATCCCAAATCTGGTTGCTGATCGCTGGTTTTCCATGGTTTTCCTGACAGCGCACTGGTTGTACTCTGACTGAGTACCCTTCGCAGCCCTTGGAGATTATCATAGTCCCACTGGCAAAAAAAACACACGAACTCTCTGCTATTATTGCTGCAATCCCACTTCTAGCTACAAAGTCACCTAGATTTCTTACATTGCCAATTAGGCTCCAAGAAAAACATGGGTTTGCATCGACCTCATGTATGGAAAGGATTACAAACTACCCAACAATCAATCAAAAACTTGAAAATGGTGCAAACTCAAAAATCTCCTGCTATGAATCAGGCTTGAGAAAACCCCTATTGTTGGGGAGTTACCTGACGACTGTACCCATGGTGTTTTGGCATGTGCTCCTAGTTTCGGATCCACATGGCTTTGTCTGAGAGTAGTGTACCCAACTACATTGGACCAATCTATCATTTTCCTTATCAAAAATATTCAAAAATAGCCATTTAGAGGCTTCCTAAAATAGAGGTACCCCCAGTCATCATCCATTTTCGATTGGGATTTTCCCTTCTAAACCATCCAGCTATTGAATTTATTGGGGTATCCCACCTATTGCAGGAATCCGCCATTTGGGGCTCGCAGGTCGCAGCTTCACCTTCGAAAACACAAAGTCCGCAGCTGGCAGCGATGTGCCACTCAGATCAGCCGTCAGAAACCTGCGAGGTCAGCTGGGCCCCCGGTAAAAACGAGAGGAAAACCATAGGGAAATCCGGTGATTTAAGCAAAAAACATGGTGATTTTCAATGGGATTTACAGCTGATTTATAGCTTGGTGAACAGAACTCCATTAACGTTTGGGTTTATGATTCTTAATAGCTATAATTAGGTTTGGGATACGCCATACGCAACATTTTTATCTGGGGGACCGAGTTGGAGCATTGTCTTTTTGGAAACCAGCTGGGTTTTACCATTCAATTTCTTTATGACGTTCTGGAAGATTTTCCCTCCTCTGGGAAAAATAACCCCTGGAACGACCATGGTGTCATCATGTGGATTTTGTTTACTCCAGTTTTCTGGGGATGAATTCACAAACGGCACCAGGACCCAACATTTTTCAGCGCCAGGACCCAAACATTTCACTACGCGTTGGCTTTATGGTGATTGTAGCAAGGAGAGCATCACTTTGTGACTCGAATGCTTCAGTGAAGGTTTGGGTTCCTGGATTACATGACACCCGTTTTCATCGGGCCTCTTTCAAAGCATGGAACATCACACAACACCACCGCTGGAAAATAGAGGAAACCCAAACTTGCCCAATAGAAAAGATTTTTTCCGTACTCCATTTTGTTTGGATTCGGATTCAGGTGAGTATTCCGAAAAGTGTTCCCATTTTCAGGTGGTAAAATCATGCAACACCATTTTTTAATGGAACTGGAACTGCCAGATTTATATAACACTTCTTACTGGTCAAATTCAAATCCCAGATTCAATTTCATTAAGAGTGGTTAAAAATTGGCTAATCCAAGTATTGGAATCTTAATATCTGAATACCCTCTGGTAAACTAACATAGCTATGGAAAATCACCATTTTTCATAGGAAAATCCACTTTAAATGGTCATTTTCAAATAGCTATGTTAAATTACCAGAGGGTAAATGTGAACATTCTCGGCATTTCAGCCAGTGGATTCACCGCCAATTCTTCCTGATCAAATTGATGAGCGCCTCAGTGAGGGAAACCTTTGCTGATTTTCCTGCGATGGGAACCCACGTGAACTCCCGACAATTTCTGCTGTGACTGTTTACAAAAACTAAGACGTCATTAATTCATCTGAGTCCATCGGATTTGTTTAATTCAAATTCGAAATGATTCGAAATGTTCAACTGGTTATTTTTTGCGTCAATGTTTATGGTTGTAAAATGTTATAAAGTTAATCATCAGGGATCATCACATTGATCAAATCGAGGCTGTTTCGACATCACGGATCAATTTTCACAACACCCAAAACGAGCATGCCAGGTCAAACAACAATGGAAAATCCCCATGTCTATATATAGAAGGTAGATATAAATGGGAATTTCATATATATATATATATATAACAACAATGGATAACAATCTATTATATCTATATATAACAACAATGGAAATCATCTCCTCAAATTTCATGGATTCTCCAGCCACGTCTCAGTATCACAAACAAACTATTTAACCAACCACCCCAGAGAATCCTCAATCACGTGGTTCACGATGTCCACACCGGTATACTTTACCTGCGACGAAAAAAAACACCTGGTGTGTTCCATGGCCAGCCTCGAGTCCGAGCCGAGTCCATGAACACAAATTATTGGATGATTTTTCCATTGAAAACCAACATTAGTAATTACGGTTGATTTCCGATTGCCATGTTTGATTACCAAACGATATCTCTTCCCGCGGGGGGTCAGGAGTGAGTAGTGATTTCCTCAAACGAACGTCTTTGCTGCAGAGTCATTATTCGTAATCATCCCGAATACTTACTGTATCATTCCGACTTTGAATCTCCCCGAAAAAACAGCTGGCTAGTAAATATGATCATTTACATCACAAAATCAGATCACGGTAATATTCAACGCACCCTCAGAAAACCAACTTCAGTATTGGATCTTCATTGTGCGGCCCATATGGAAGGTAATTATTCCATATAACATGAGAAAGTGTTATTAATATTTACACACCGCAAATCGAACATGGATCCTGAACAAAATGCATCTGGAAGATAGATTTCGATCTAGTTTTTTTTGGGGGGTTCCATGTTACAATTAGGTGGTTGTAATCCATATTCTTGTTGATGCCATTCCATTTTTTGTTGGTTAACATTCCATTGCAGCACACATAGTTGATCGCTGTTGGTTGAAAAACCCGTCAAACTTATTGGGTGCTCTATGTGTTTTCCCTCTATCTCTGCTCTAGGGTTGGAATTTTACATAAATGTTTCAACATATATATATATAGTGTATATATACGTTTTTACTTGTTTAAAACTCTTTGGAATTATACCCATCCGGAAGTAGAAAGGAGACTTGAAGAACAACAAGCACAGAAAACATTAAGGCGAAAATCGTAATGGAAATTCTATTTCAGGATGACCCTATGTATACATAACATATTAAAGAAATAACTACAACATACTACAACAGTCCCTGCTTTTGACTCAAATTTGCGGTGGTTGCCTGCGGTCTTCTGGACAGGAAAGCCGTAGCAATCCTTCGGACCAAAGAGTTCACCCGCCACTGGGCCACTGTCCCGGAAACGGAAAAGGAACCAAAAAAACATCAAATGATGGGAGTGTCGAATCAAAACATGATGTTTTAAATTGTTTTAATATGTTTTACATGATCTACCTGATAAAGGTGGTTGTTCAACAACTTGAACCAACAAGAAAAGGGATTTAGTGCGCAAGATGGTGAATTCCAGTTGCGTTTGGTAGTTCGTTTACTAGCTCAAATATGTTTTGCCTTAAAAGCCCTATAGTCGTTGGAGCTGTAAGCAATCTGATACCTAACTATGGGGCAGCACCTTCTAGCGATGCGTGATCAGCTGCTGCAACCCTGCTATAAAACCCGGGCGAAAATTCCAATGTCGGCTGTTGGCTTCAGAGCCCCCAAAAGCACTTCAAGTTTTGCGCCTGACTCATCACCACCAAAAAGCGGGCCTTCTTGTGAAAGAAATTTTTATCCTTGCATCAAAAAAAAGATAGAAGTACTTGCGACCCCTCTAGGAGAACCCATCTGGGCACCTGCGCGCGATATCCACGAAAATTCCACTGTCTAGGTGACTTTGTCCAATGTCTTAGAACATTAGAGGTTGCGAGTTCCGCGCCATCAGAAGAGTTGGCATTACGCCAAATACAAACCATTTTGTAAAAAAGGTGTGGCCTGCCACCCTTTATTAACTATTCCCATTGATAGCAGTACTAACCATCAAAAGCGGAGATATACCATGTTATAGGTTATACCCATCAATAATTGGTCTTCTCATGATCCGACGTGTTCACTAAACCAACAACTGGCATACACTGGCATATTTTTGCACACAGATGCTCTTGAGGTATCTCACCCTTTATGTATCAATGAGATACATGGGTTCCAATACCAAAATATCGTCTGGTCTAATCGGCTGAATGATTTGGGGGTACCCCCATGACAAGATGGAAACCTCCATGCAAAATTACATGTATAGCAGGACCCATTAACGATTACATGTATTGTTAGCCAGCGTTAAAAAATGGGATGGACCCCGTTGAAACATGGCAGACCGTTGAAACAGGACTTGGCAATCATTTAAAAAAATCCCCCACCAAATGCCTCAAGATCTAACCAGAGTAAGCCATGAATTGCCATTTGGGTTTGTCTGGAAATGCGGGATACCCCAAAATGCTTGTCTCAATCGAAAAAAACATCGGTTACCGGTACCGAAGCCACTTGTTTACATCAAAATGGCTTAACATTCCAACAGAAAAAACAAGACAATCGCCAAACTTTCAGAAAAACTCATCCACCCGCATCCACAGGTTTGGTAAGCAACATTAATTTTTCTTAGTTTACCCTCTGGTAATTTAACATAGCTACTGAAAATGGCCATAGAAATAGTGAGATTTCCCATTGAAAATGGTGATTTTCCATAGTTATGTAACAGTTTGCCAGAGGGTACATCTCCACATGTTTCATGTTGAGTGGTTTTTTTGGAAACCCATGGACCCATGCGAAAAAAAGGTCCAATGCAAAACGGATACGACTGTTACATCCTCATGTTTTCTCTGCTTAGCTTTTCCAATCAAAATGGTCAAATATGCCCAAACAAAAAACACAACGAAATCTGCGCACATGTTGAAAAAAACACACTATATTAAATGCTAGCATAGCGAAATTCTGCGTGCTACATCAAGCTTGTCTGCCCCGTGTAGATGGTTGAAACCCCCATAGCGATCAAACCGCACGTGCAAACAACAACAACTTTTCACCAAGCCTTCATCAAAGGGTATGAATTTTGGGTGTGTCGACAAACGTGGTATTTAGGATATAGCAAAAAGTTGGGGGGAAACATCCACTGAGAGTTGATTTGATCAACCATAGGGTCGTTCCCATAGATTTCAGCAACATCTTAACTGGTTGGTGGTATACCTACCCCTCTGAAAAATATGAAAGTCAGTTGGGATTATTATTCCCAATATATGGAAAAATAAAAAATGTTCCAAACCACCAACCAGTTAAGTATTGAAAACCAGACTATCCGCTTTTCGAAGTTCCTGGTTGAATCCTGGTGTTCAGCAATCATACTTGATAAATATCACCAGCTCCTTGTAGATATGCTTTAAGGGTGCCCCTTTTTGCATACCCCAAAACCATCCTGGATATTCCTGGATCATCAATTTGATGATCAATCACGTGGATGATCAATCGGCTGGTTAAACAAAGACGGGTGGTTGAGCCCTACCCCTCTGAAAAATGATGGAGTTCGTCATTTGGGATGATGAAACTCCCAATTACAGTAATATGGAAAGTCATAAAATTCCATGGTTCCAAACCACCAACCAGCCGATGGTTTTTTACACCCCATTGTATCCATCCTGATACCCTCATTATCCCATCAAAACCATTTAGTTTTTCATCCCATCATCGTAACCGATAAACAAAGGTAGAACACGAGTTTATCACTATCAATAGTTTATCCCAACAGATAAACAAAAAAACATACATACTTATAAGTGTATACAGCGTATTCACTCCTAACACAGTAAACCGCAGTAAACCCCCCCAAAAATAGTAACATTTAAATTGACTAACTCAACAAGTATATTAAGTCAAACAAAAAAGAGATTGTTGTGTTTTCTCTATCTCTATACAGTATCTACCATACACCCTAGTATTATATGAGTTATTGGCCCCAACTCAGCAAACGTTTGGCTGCTTTTATCCCATGGGGTATCCCCATGACATATTCACTCCTAAACTTGTAACCCCCCGAAAAGTACCAGTATAGTAACTCCAGCAAAGTATATTAACCCCAAAACAAATTGTTTTTCTACATGGTGAGGCCCCCTAGGTATTTGTCAATAGGTTGACTAGGGTCTATGGTAGACATATCGAACTAGTTTGTGGCTTTATAAACCAACAAACATCACTGGGGAGTCTCATCTTGTAAAAATGTCGGATTGAATCATCCAAAAAACAACAAAAAACTTCGATATAGCGTAAGCCACAGAATTCACCTAGTCCGTTTAACCAACTTAGCTATAATAAATTATCTAACAATCCCATTAAAACAATCGTTATCTTATTCTTCTTTGTTCAATCACCATTTTCCTATGAGTTTTCCTATGGGGTTTCCCATGTTTTTTTCCCATTCAAGCTTCCGTTGATAGTGTTGTTTCTCCCATGATGTTCAGATGGCAGTGTGTCAAAACCATGTACCCCTGGTGAACATCAAAATAGCTGGTAAATGGATGTTCATTCCCCTAAAAATGGTATTAATAGGTATTGATCCATACCCAGATGATTCTCCCATCAAAATGGCAAACATGGATAAACATGGCACATGTTCGCCGTTTCTAGGGCATGTCGCATGATTCTCCCATGATCTTCCCATGATCTTTCCCATGGTTTTCCAGGTCTAAGGATCACACCAGGCCGCGTCCCCACAGGCAGCATCCAGCATGGATGTAGCGCCCAACCTGGAAAAGGGCGAAAATGGGTCGAAGTTTCATCGGGATAAGTAGGGCAAGTATAGTAAAACATGGTAAAGTAATGGTAAAATATCTTCAAGCATCGTAAAATAACGGTAACATATGGCAAACATTGGTAAAATTATGTAAAATGACCAATTCGCCCACTCAAAGTGGCTATCATTATCTACCATTCATCTATAGTAGGTTGGAAAAACATACTGATGGGTTGAGGAGGGAAAACACAAAAATGCTGTGGTTCGCCACCAGTAATTTGGATTTGAACGAACAAACCATCTTAAAAAAAAAAACAACAGATTTCGGGACTACAAACAAAAACTAACAATAAGAATCTAACCCACACAAATGAAATTTGAAAACCAGAATACCCGTGTTGACTCAACACCAGCACTTGGGAACTTTTTCAACGAACATGTTAAAACAAACACCAACATACTCAATCAACAGAAATTGAATTCAAACAACAAATTGTAAGATTTGATATTCGAAGATAGGAAGGACAAACAGGAAACTTGCTGCGATTCAATCAAGAAGAAAACACAATGGATCAGCTGGAGCACAAAGAGGGATTGAGCTAAGAAAAAAGTGGGTTGGAGTCGGTGCTAGAAGAATGGATCAACATGTGGTATGGCAAGTTTTTGGTGAAGTAGAAGCAATGGAATATGTGGGTGTGACAAGAGTTGTTATTGGTGTGTCGGTTTTTTTTCAGGAAAACCCAATGAAACCAGCACGGTACCCTCTGGTAATTTAACATAGCTATGGAAAATCACCATTTTCAATGGGAAAATCCACTATAAATGGTCATTTTCCATAGCTATGTCAGCCATTACCAGAGGGTAGGAGGAAACACAACAAGAATGTGGAGATCGGATCCCCAGATTTCCCCAAGGGATCCCCAACCAGGATCCCTTGGATCCCACGGATACTCCCAGGCGTCACATATCCACCACCATGTCCAAGACGGTAATGGCAATTCGCACCATCGGATGGAATGGATCCGACCTGCGGGGGTCTCTTGTTGGACATCTTGGGGGTGACTTAAAATAACCCCCAGGGGGCCTGGTTTGCTGGGGCATTTCATGATATCTTTTTGGGAGTATCACCATCCTGTTAATTGGGAATCCCGTTACCGACCTGTGAACTGTCTAAAGTTTCACCATGTTTCACCTTCTCTGGGTCTTCAAAGCTGATCTTCAGCCATTTTCAAGCGCCCGAAACGATGGAAATCTCGAAGCCTTTGGCGTCGATGTCTTCTCAAGAGCCTTCCTGTTGACACAGGGATGCCTTGGCTCTGTCCTTCGAACATGGCTCTTCTTGTGTATACTATATATATACACAATCACATAATGTGTATGCATTTTATATGCATATATATATATATGTTATATATATATAGATATGTTACCAGTATCTATATATATGTCATATAATATATATATATATATTATAGTATATACCCACATGAATCCTGAAAACAGCTACTCTAATTTTGGTTTTGTTCCCCAAACATGTAAAAATATAGCTCATAAGCTTACCCAAGGTCTACCAAGCAAATACTATAGGCGCTTTCAAGGATCCGTGCTGCCAAATAAGCAATGTTCAGAACCCTCTGTTATCACATCATAGTGGTTTCTGGGGGTTGCAATCAAGGATGGTTCGATACATTGAAGATGATCATCCCGGATTTTGTAACCGGAATTTCCCGATGATCTAAAATGCAGTGTGGTTGTGTAACCTCCGTGATCAATCAACCACCATGGGGTCTTGCACACTGTGAAGATGATTCCCGGATTTTGTAACCGGAATTTCCCGATGATCTAAAATGCAGTGGATTGTGTAACCTCCGTGATCATCAACCACCAGGGGTCTTGCACACTGTTCAATTCTGTTTCTTCAAGTTCAAAAACGTCCCCCCAAAAAAAACGGGGAGATTTTAAATGCCTCGGTTGTGAATTGGCAAAGCATCGAGTTTATCAAGGAGAAAGAGGAATCGATTGAACCAGCGTCGATATGGCTCTTGGCAATGCTAAGATATGCTAAGGCTGCTAAGGGTAACTAGTAGAGGGGATGACTGGTGACTAGTTGCTAGTTCGGGAGAGACAATGCTTGAAACAACCAACAGCTTATTGTCTTTAGTGCATGGGTGCACTTTCGCTTCATATGTAGGTATCTGGTCACAATTATATGGATTAAATATGATTCAATTATAGCCTAACTGATCCATGAATAGCATTTAATGACCCTAACTGCACCCTGCAAGTGGGGAATATCATCCATCTGTTCAAGAGCCTCAACTTGCAGAAGGTCAACAGGCAGCCTTGGCTGTAACTATCAGAGGCAAGTGCTCCAGTGGAAATCCAACTAACCCCTTGAACCTCAAACTTCACTCTAAATAGTGAGTGGCATAAACATCTTGTACCCTCTGGCAATCACAGATAACCCTGGAAAACCGTGATGTCTGATAAATCACCTAGAAATGGTGTATAATCTATATATATATATACATCCCATATGCTCCATGTAGAGTATATTTACCTACATTTGGGTGATTTATGGGGTAAATGTTGGTAAATATTCCATACATGGAGCATATGGGTATATGATTTTCATAGATGTTTTTTTTCATGGCTTAAATTACTCTGTGCATCTCCATAGAAACCAGTGGCCACTGTCGGCTTGGCAGGTTCTTTTTGGTGGTTGCATCATGGTGCCATCTTCAAACGACTGGTGCGCTCGCAGCATCGTAGAGTTCTCTAAACCATGTGATCTGGCTAAATTGTAATAATTCACTAACCTGAATTAAGGCCATTTGGGGATGATTCCTCTTATTGACCATGATTCCCAGTGAGGGAGAACAGTGAGGTCATTATAATTTACCCAGATGTGATAGGTAGAAAAACCTCTGGTACTGAAACGTGATAGTGGAAATTTCCCCATATTTATGGTGGATTTTCCCATTGAATCATTATGAATCATTCACACCTCCATGACAAAATTGAAGATATAGCCACGAAGCTGCTGATCGCCTAGGGCCTACAGGATGGGGCCACCCAGTTAGAAGTTGGTTTCTAAACCAATATAACCTCTATTAACTATAGTTATATCTATACCATAAACCATAGCTAAGCCACTTATAAGGCAACTGAACGCTATCGACTGGGGGCCCCATCCTGTAGGCATTCGAAAAAGTTAACGTTCGTCAAATCTGAGCACACTCAGACTCGGCACGTCTCAAGTCCCGCTCAGCTTTGTATTCGCGCACCTCGGCACAAAGGCACCATTTTTGGGCGAAGGCTGGATCCGAAGGCTGTAAAAATGGCGAGTTTTGATAGGTGAAATACCGCGGGTAAGACCTGTTTCAAACCTGAGGAGTTTTAGATAAACTCAAATATTGTATTGTCATGGATCGTCCCAGTTTTCCACCCTTGACACACCTTTGAGGCGGCCAGCGCTTTGAGGGGTCTTGGCCGCCTTGGCCCCATGTATTTCATGCTTCTTATCCTTGAACACTGTTGCAGTTAGCGTCTAAAAATCTCATGTTTCTCCCAGCAGATAGACATGTGATATTGGATTATAATGATTAGCCTATGATTCAATATGTGTAGTAAGGGTAGCTACAGCTGCTCATCCTGATATTGATATGATATGCCTTTCTCAGACCCGGAAAACGCCTCCCTGAGCACCAAACTTCTCTCAGGGTACGACAGTACGCTTGCCTCAGGGCCTGAAATTTGTCGCGGCCTCTGATTTTGAGCCATGGGCCCTCATAGTTCACCATGTAAATAACCCAAATATACACAAATCACAATCTACATCTCCCATGATCTCTAACTATATCCCCATGATATACAGTGGTTATCTTTTTTTCTGGTAAAAGTGACACAAATCACCATGTTTCATGGGTTTGTCTGAAAACTCCCCAAAATCCCATGATTTTCTTGATGGGGATCAATCGGGGATGATACTGAAAAAAAAAACTAGGACCCTGGGAAAAGAATATAAAATTAATTATTGGAACAATCATTTAAGGTTCCTCCTCTGGTCCCCTGGTCCTCTGGTCCCCTGGTCCCTTGGTGCCCTGGTCTCTTGGTCCCCTGGTCCCTGGGTCCTCTTGAAACCAAAACCAACCGTCCTACATAATCATCCATAAAACGAACTGAAAGAAACACCAAACAACATCTAAACAACTCCAACTAAGCCTAAAAATCGCACCTAAAAACCTGAACCAAAACTAAATAAACCTTAAAGCACATCAAACAAGCACCAAACCAACCATAAAATCGGCACTACATAACACAAGAATAAACAGAAAGAAGCATAAAAACAACCATATATATAATTATATATATACACGTATAAATAACCCAAATTAGATCTTAAATAAGGCGACCCACATAAACCATCAGGAAAGCCTAAATAAGCCATAAAATAAAATAAGCCCTAAACCAGCACTAAATAAACCCATGTACTACATAACAAAAACCGAAATAAGCTTAAAAACTACCCTAAACAAAGTCTAAACCAACATTCAAGAGACCCTATAACAACCCGAAAGAATCACGAAACCAGCACTAAATTCACACGACAACAACTCTGAATCGACACCAAACAAGCACCAAGCCAACCCCAAATCAAAACTATATAACACAAGCCGAAATAAAGAAACCCTAAAGAAAACGTAAAGCAACCAAATCTAAATTGTAAAACAATGTTTAAAAAACGCAGGCCAAACTAACCGTACAGAAGCCTTAAAATCAACCAGAAATACTCACAAACAAAAACCCTAAACCAACCTGAAATAGATCCTAAAACTAACTTTAGACAATATGTTGCACATACCACGAAATACTGAAGATAATCCCCTGTGTAGCACAGATGCTGGCTCCAAGATGCTGCGAGCACAGTGCAAACAAGGGATTCAAGGCCAAAACACTTTAAATCCCATTAAATTGCATGTTTAAGTTCCCAAGCCCTGCAAATATTGTACAATTAAGAGATTTCAGCTGCACAATGTTCAAAGTACAGATTCTTAAGTTTTTTTTCCAGTGGTCAAACGTTTTCTTTCCAGCATCTACCCGATCAATCCCCCCATTATCACACAGGGATAATTTATGTACAATGCGGATCTCCGTAACGTTGTAACGTTGGTTTATAAATGTCTTATAATGGTTTATCAACCCCATAAGTACTATAGTTATAAATAGTTATAAGATGTAATAAGTATCATAAATCATAAACTAACAGTGACGTTGCAGTTCTTTCTTCACCAAACTTAGCCGCTTAGCCGCTACAAAAATCACCAAAAACTCTGCCTGGAGTGTGCCCGCAGCATCGGCTTGGTCCCAACGCTTTTGAACCTTGCTGGTTAGGTCGATATTTTTCATGGGGAAGCCATGGGAAGGCTATGACCCATGACGGATCCATGGTGCTGCTATATATATTAACATGGATCCCATCAATATACCCCCTTTATGTTAGCATATATATATACCATACATGGATCCTATGGATGATGAACTATTACTGATACTGATATAGATTATATCATTACAGTGATATACATTATATGAATGGCGGACGAAAATCACTTCTTCATTTTCATGGGCAAATTAGGGTCGTCCCTTATCGGTAGTGAGGATTTCTTCGTTCACAGACTTTGAGGCGACTCATGCAAAACAGGGGTATGTATCGGTATTGTATAGGGTCGTCCCCTATCGGTAGTGAAGGTTTTGCACACCCCTCAGCAAGGCTAAGACGAAGCACTACTAAATGAATATTACGATAATTGTGTCGGGGACTCATATGAATATCATATTATTACACAAGTAATATTCAACGATTTTTATGGGATATATGATATTTATAGAATGAATTACAGTCTACTATATGTATATACAGGAATAATATATATTTATATACACAGTGATATACAGTGATGTAAACAGGACTTTTACCCTACTTTGCGGGATGCACTTGGTGTTGAAAAAACACATAAAAACAAAAAAACAACAACTCAGCACTCAGCA